CCCTAAACCCTAAACCCTAAACCCTAAACCTAAACCCTAAACCCTAAACCCGACGCCCGAAACCCTAAAAAACGGCAACAACTTGCCCGCGTTCAGCCGAGGGTGGAGCCCGCAGCTGTGACAGAAGCCGGTCCAATCTGTCCTTCCACGTAACGCCCGAGGAGTCTCAAGTCGCGCAAGTAGGCGTCACCCTAAACCCTAAACTCTAAACCCCAAACCCTGAACCCTAAACCGGGCTTAGGGAGACTTATAAGGAGTTCTGGGCCCTGTCTCCTGAAAGCTGGACTCCATGAGGACGACCTTTTCGCCAGGCAGGAGCTGTTCATTCGGGTTTAGGGTTTAGGGTTTAGGGTTCAGGGTTCAGGGTTCAGGGCTGCTTTTTGGCCACCCGCTCTGCGGAAACTCCACAGGGAATAGTCGGTTTGGGACTTTAGGAGGGGCTGAGGTGCCTGGACCCCGAAATATAGGGCCCCGGCTATGGTCTCGTAGCCACTAACCCTAAGCCCTAAGGGTCTAGGGCCTTAGGAACACTCCATGAGCCGAATGAGCCCTGAAACCCTAAAGCCTAAACCCTAAACCCCACACGTGGCTCCCCCAAACCGAAGCCGCAGCCTTACACTCACCATGTCAGCACCTGAGACAGAGCCTGCCGCACCTAACTCCACCAAGACAACGCCGCTCCACCCTCTAAACCCACCAAACCCTAAACCCTAAACCCTAAACCCTAAACCCTAAACCCTAAACCCTAAACCCTAAACCCTAAACCCTAAACCCTAAACCCGAAACCTCACCTAAGCTCGAGTCCCCAAGTACTCGTCTCCTAGAGAATTTCGGGTTCGGCTAGGGCCGGCTAGGGCTGAAGATTGTTCCTCTGGCCTTATGCTTAGTTGTCCAGTACCTAGGGGTTTTAAAGGTTAACCTTTGGGATTTTAAGGGGAATAGATTAACCCAAAACGGTTAAAGGTTACCTACTCTACCTCTGGCCTTCTGCACCCCCCCCAAAACCGACAAAAACCCTACACTGCCCTACACCCCAAGGAGCTGCACCCTAAACACTCAACCCTAAACCAAATAGACAACTACGGGGAGAGGGGAGGGGAAAGCCCCAGCCTCAACAAGTGGCGCTCCCCCTGAAAACTAGCAGAGGAGCCAAAAAGAACTTCGGAGCACGCGGGGGCACTTGCTGGGGTTTGAGGGTTTAGGGTTTCGGGTTTAGGGATTAGGATTTTGGGCAGGGAGTCCTTGGCAGGACCACGAGATGTTGGGACCTTCGAAATGACAGACTTGCTGAACCCTAAGCCGCCACTCTGATAATGTGTTTGACTCCGGGCTGATATTAGTACTACTTGTGAGGTGCAACGTTGGTTTAGGGTTTAGGGTTTCGGGTTTTGGGTTGCTCTGAGTAGGGTTTAGTGTTTAGGGTTTATAGGGTTTCTTGCTACCCGCCTGGCCACGCACTGCGGGGATCCCTTTTGGGTGAAACTGATGACTTTGCATAGGTTTAGGTTGGGATGTTCCCCCCTATACTAGCAGTCCTTCATAGGATCATTGAGGGTACTATCATCCCTCTTCAGGGTTGTGAGTATAAGGGGTACATCCCAAGACTTAGGGTTTAAAGTTTAGGGTTGCACGGCACTTTGGGTAGGGCCGTCGTGGGTTCAGTGCAAGAGCCTTAGACCCCTCAAAAGATACTGAGGTCCAGGCTTGCAGACAAGGAACTGGGGGTATAGGGTTTCGGGTTGCCCTAAACCCTAAACCCTAAACCCTAAACCCTAAACCCTGAACCCTAAACCCTGAACCCTAGAGCCTAAACCCTAGAAGGTCTGATGGGCGGCGCGGCGGCACCATGCTCGCTGCCTTGTCATGCTGGCTTAGTGTACTTCCGGGGATATAAAGCCCTACAGCTGCAGAACACCCTGAAACTCCTTCAAGCACTAAATCTAAGAGTAGTTGCATGGTCCCTTAGTATGGACCCTTGAAAGGGTACCCCTTATAGATCCTATACAAATTAAAGGCCCATACATTACAGGAGGTTAGGGACCATATCAAAGGCCCATGAAACTACCCGCTAGACACTCAAAGCCCCGAGACACCGCCGAAGACTAGGTTCAGACTCCGAACCTTGGCAAGACCCTCAATCTGTCGAGCCCCTGGACCTTCCGAAACAGTGGTTTCCGAAAATACACCCTAAACCCTAAGCCCTAAACCCTAAACCCTGAACCCTAAACCCTAAAAACTAAACCCTGAACCCTACCCCCCCCCCCCCCCCCCCCCCCCCCGTCGTTGGGGGGTCTTATGAATCAGAACTACATAGCATTTGGGGAGACCCCCAATGCTTTGTGCGGTGGGGCTTAGGGTTTCGGGTTAGAGGTAAACCTTTGGGATTGGAGACTTTCATGGTATGCAAGGCAAGACTCACACCCCAAATCTCAAGTCCGGATCCTCAACCCCAACCCTCTAAACCTCCCTCCCAGATCTTGGCTCACTGGACAAGGGCTTCCCTCAAGTGCCCCTGGGCTTGCAAGGCCTCGGTCTAGAAAAGCGCGACGTCATTTCTTACTTCTAGTATGGGTTTAGGGTTCAGGGTTAGGGTTTAGGGTTTGGGGTTAAGGTTTTTGTTTAGGGTTTTTGGTTTAGAGTTTTTGCTAATGCTCCCAGGGACAGCCACTGTGTACACTCGCCAATATAAGAAGGGGACCACATGCTCTATATGAACCCTACTTCATGTGTATGTGTGTGTGTGTTGCTTTGTATGCCTGGGTTTTCTGGCTGAGGCTTGTTCGTTTACAGCACGATTCTTTGTAGTTTTGCTATCTTCTCATTTATACTCTTGTGCGCGCATCTCTCGCGCTCTCTCTCCCTCTCTCCTCCTGCTTCTCTCGCCACTCCACTCTCGCCCTCTCTGTCTCTCTCTCTCTCTCTATCTCTTCTTTTCTTCTTCTTCTTTTTATTGTTCTTCGTCTTTGTCTTATTCTTCTACACGCTTGAGGGCCCTTCCTCTCTCTCTCTCTCTCCTCATTAGACGGCCTAAACCCTGAAACCCTGTTTTTGACTCCGGGCTGTAAGGAACCTGCCCCACGTCCCTTCTGCTTCTGCAACTGGCTTCGGGCTGCGCGCCCGCCTGACTCTAACATCCCGGAAACCCACGAGCCCCTAGTAGCCACGGTTTTCTTAGGGGCTGTATACCCTAGCCCAAAAACGTCAACGTTTTAGATTTAGCAGGTGAAACCTGAAACCCTGAACCCTAAACCCCTAACCCTAAACCCTAAACCCTAACCCCCCCCCCCCGCCCTGGGACTCCCGGACGCTGCCAAGGAGGTAGCGAAGGTCCGAAGCGGTGGGCCGGAGGATCAGCCTTAGGGTTTAGGGTTTCGGGTTTCGGGTTTAGGTTTAGGGTTTAGGGCCTCTCAGTTAGCAGCAGGGCTCTTGCTTGCATGTTTCCTCCGTAGCCCAGGAACCATATTGCAAGAAGGGCACCCTTGTTGGGGAGTTGGTTACTTTATAAGGGAACCTTGAACCCAAAGGGAAAAGGGTGCTACTGGACTACCAAGTTTCGCTCCCGACTAGCGAGGAAGTCACCGGGAGAACTTGCTTTAGCCTCACGCTTGAAACACAAATGGTGTAAGCTCTCTAGTAAACCCTGAACCCTGAACCCTGAACCCTAAACCCTTTTCCCTAAACCCTAAGCCCTTAATTAACCCTGAACCCTTAACCTTAACCGTGACTTCTTTGGAAGTCTAAGCAAGGGTCTAGCACATCCAACCACTCATCGGAACAAGGCTCGCCCATCCCCACCCCCTGACCCCCTGGGCGCCACGCGCGTTCCGAAGAAGCTGCCTGGGTGAGTGCCATGAAGACCCTCAAAGGGTTTAGGGTTTAGGACCAACCCTTTTGCAACAAGCAAACCCCTAAATCCTTAAAGCCCTGCCAGAGCCTCCCTTGAACCAACAGGCCCTCGGCTGTCGACCCGGCCGGATGTTGTTTGGTTCATGCCTCCAACCCTAGAAAACACTTTGCAACCTATTATAATGCTACGAGATCTAAGCGCAAGCTTTGTGGATGCTGCAAGGGGCTGTGCGCAAGAATGTGTACATGTACCAATGTTGATAACAATTAAAAACATGAAAAATGTCGAGCGCCTCCCCCGGGACCATCCCCCCCCCCCCCCCCCCCCAAAACCCTGAAACCCTGAAACCCTGAAACCCTGAAACCCTGAAACCCTGAAACCCTGAAACCCCCTGAAACCCTAAACCCTAACCCCCCCCCCCTTCTGCTGTTCAGGAGCTCGGCTCTGGGTACAGCTCGCTGCTCTCCGCTGGCACAGGTGGGCCTCGCCAAGCCCCAGCCCTAAACCTCAAACCCGAGACCCCTAAACGCCTAAACCCCTCAACCCTACACCCTAAACCCCTACATCCCAAACCCCTACACCTTGGAACCCAAACCAAGAGCGCTACAAGGGGGTTTCCGAAATTAGGGGTACCTTATTGCGGTCCTTATGGTAAGGGGGTCCTACTATTGGCAGGTGTATTTTGGGGGTCCCTTATTTTCGGAGGTGTTCCGAAACTGAGGTGAGCTGTCGTTGTCGATTCCCAAAAACACGAGATGTGCGCATAGACTTTCGTTCATGTGTTAATGTTTGTTTCAAACAGTAATTTCTCAAAAATGCTACGGTGTTCTTCATGAGATGGGTCAGAAGCGCCCGGTTCCCTAACACACACCTCAAAGGGCATTGGGGGTCGGGATTTGGGTTTAGGTTGAAGTGGTTTAAGGCATATACACATCCCTAAACTCTAAACCCTAAACCCTAAACCCTAAACCCTAAGAAATGTGAGGGCTGCATGCTCGACTACTGCCCGTGCTTGTTAAATGGGCTCACAAGGAAGCCTGGCCCAACAAAACGGAAGAAGGGTTTAGGGTTTAGGGTTTAGGGTTTAGGGTCTAGGGTCTAGGGTGTAGGGTTTAGGGCTAGGGTTAGGGTTCAGGGTCTCGGGGTGGTTCTGCTAATCATCTAAAGACCACGCAGGGCGCCTGTGATCGTCCTCCTCTTTGCCCTCAAAGGTAGATGGTCCTTGGCAACTAGCTTGTGGCAAGAGACCCTAAACCCTAAACCCTAAACCCTCAGCCCTAAACCCTAAACCCTAAACCCTAAACCCCAAACCCCAAACCCCAAACCCGTATCCGAAGCTGCCTTACCCCCGAACACTCTTAGTAGCCCAGCAACATATTATAGTAAGGGTGGTTACTTCATAAGGGAACCCAGAACCGAAAAAATTGGTAAAGTGTACCACTCGGTTACCAAGCCCTAATACGATAAGATTGAAAAGGTCAGCTGCTGTCCGCCCTGGCGATTAGGTAGGGTTTAGGGTTTAGGGTTAAGGCTTTAGGGTTTCGGGTTTCGGGTTTGGGGTTTGGGGTTTGGGGTTTAGGGTTTAGGATTTAGGATTCAGGGTTTACTAGGGAGCTTGAGGTTCAGGGCTTAAGGTTAGGGCTCCGGGGCTTTTTGTAGGGTTCAGTGTTGCGGGGGTCTAGGGCGACCCTAAACCCTGAACCCTAACCCTAAACCCTAAACCCTAAACCCTAAACCCTAAACCCTAAACCCTAAACCCTAAACCCTGAGTTAAGCGATCCCAGCTCTCGGCTTCGCACTGGACACTTCGGCTGCGGAAGCAGTCTCCAGCCCTACACAGGGGGAGCATTAATTTAGAGGTTTTGGGTCGAGGGTTCAGGGTTTAGGGTTAGGGTTTAGGGTTTAGGGTTTAGGGTTTAGGGTTTAGGGTTTAGGGTTTAGGGTTTAGGGTTTAGGGTTTAGGGTTTAGGGTTTAGGGTTTAGGGTTTAGGGTTTAGGGTTTAGGGGCGTTTAAGGCAGAAGGGTTCAGGGCGCAGAGCTGCCTCCCCCTCCGGGGAAGGTTTGGTGGCTTCAAGGGTTTCAGGGTTTAGGGCTGAGGGTTTAGGGTTTGCTTGGGGGGTGACCCTGTAGAGCCTAGGCAGGTTTAGGGCTTAGGCTTAAGGTTCACAGCCTACACAGAAACAAAGCGAACAGCCGCGCAATGGGTAGTCATACTTGCAGTAGCTGTATACTGTTTCACGTGCAAGTCTACGACCATGAAGCATCTCGAATTGACAAAGTGGCGATATCGTGTCAAGATCAGGGAAAAGGTTTCACGCTTGGGAAGAGGGCCTTCTGCGCAAGCCCATCAAGCGCCAAGAGATGTTTGGGTCCTGCGATCCTCTAGTACGGGCCCTTCATTTGGGTCCCTTGTTACGTAACCCTTACAAACACTATACATAATAAGGGCCCATACTTCGGATCCTTATAAACAAGTGTAAGGGACCATACTGAGGGCCCATGGTAGTAACCTCAGACTCTACTGGTAACAGGGCTGACTGCTAGAAAGGACCCTAAACTCTAAACCCTAAACCTTAAACCCTAAACCCTCTTTTGCTTCTGGGCTCCGGAGGGGTAGTCAGCGGCCCAAACACAGGGTTTAGGGTTTGGGGTTTAGGGTTTAGGGAAACACAGAGTTCCGGCTTTACTGATCTGAAACCAAAATTCGACCCCCAAACCTCCCAATGTACTTTAGAATTCAGGCCTAAAACCCTATAGACCCAGAGATTTCCATACCCTGAGCTAACTAAATCATTTCAGGCAGGCTCTCGATTGATCGAAAAGAAAATGTAATCCACATTTATGCGGTAATGGGACCTCTTGACAACCCTCTGCACCCAGCCTGCACCACGCAGGCAGGCGGCCAGCAGCAGCTGGGCCTAGCCAACTAGCCAAGTCCCCCAATGTGGACTTGCTGATTCAGGCTCGGGCCTTCTCATAAACTCAAGTTGCATGAAGGGATATTCTGTAAATCACAACTGAAGTTGCCACTTGCCTAGCTTAGGGTCTTGTCATCCTCCCGCATGTACCAATGGCGCAGACATCTCCTGAAACCCTAAACCCTAAACCCTAACCCTAAACCCTGAACCCTGAACCCTAAACCCTAAACCCTAAACCCTGAACAATAAACCCTAAACCCTAAACCCTGAACCAGGGAACTGTGGGATGCCTCAAAGTTTGAGGGGGCCAACCAAGCCCGTTGGCCGAGGGAACTTCTTCAAACGCACGCCGCCACGACCCGAAGAGTTATGGTTTAGGGTTTAGGGTTTGGGTTTAGGGTTTAGGGTGTAGGGTTTAGGGTTGCAGCTGCATGTTAGTGCTGGCCACAAGCACTACGCACTCTACACATGCCTGTGCTAAGTGTCAGTGCACACGGAACCATCAAGACCAGCCCACACCCTCATAAATCCCCCGGCCCTCAATTTTGCCACATTAGCATGCTTGCCCAGCGACTCCAAGATTTCCCCCCCCCCCCCCCCCCCCCCATTAGGGAGGTCGCTGTTAATTGCATTGCAGGGGTTTTCGGGCTTACATGACTTGCACGGCGTAGATCCCCTTAGCCCCTAAGGCAAGACGACCGCGAGGATTTCGAGGGTTGAGGGTCTTACGGCTTCGGCCTTTAGGGTTCACAAGAATCGCTGGGTAAACTTCACGTGCACCAAGGTTTCCCAAGTTCAGGTTTGGCTGCTGTAGTTTTTGAAAAATTCAAGCTTAAGAGTTGCAAGGGGGATTCAGGCTCCTGAGTTGTACAGTAGGGGAGTTGGGGCTTTTGGAGTTTAGGGTTTGGGGTAGTGCTGGGTGGGGCCTACACCTGCCCACTCTTCTTGAGCACTACCCGGTTTAGGGTTCAAGGGTTTCTTTTCTGAACTTAGAACCCTAGCAAAAACCATAATGTTAGCTGTTTCTTAGGAATTGCAGTACGCAAAAAAAATGCTTTCCAAGTATTTTCTAAGGTTTAAGAGTTTACGGGTGTTCAGACCCTAAACGCTAAACCCTAAACCCTAAACCCTCAACCCTAAACCCTAAACCCTAAACCCCGGGCGAAGGGCCCGAGCCTGTGCTGGCGGCCGGGCCACCGTGAGGGCCTGAGCGCTGTGGGCCTTTGGAAAAGCGGAATGGCAAGGCCCTGCCTACCCTCGATGAAGCAATAGGGTTTAGGGTTTAGGGTTTGGGTTTGGGGTTTAGGGCTTGAGGTTTTGGAGTTTGGGGTTTAGGGTTTGTGGTTTAGGGGATCAATTCGGGCTGAACATGGCCTGGGTCACCAGAAGAGGGCCCAAGAACTTAGGCCTTCGGTGCCGTAGCTCTTTTCGTTCTGCGACGGGAAGCCGTGAACCAGAAACCAGTATGTACGGTACCTATTCAACACTATAGCAACTGGATGTTCTCAAAGTTGAAAAACTCTAAAATTTCCGAACGTAATCAATACTTTACTGCACGCCCTAAACCCTTTCTCCAGCAAAACCCTAAACCCTAAACCCTTAACCCTCGAAATCCCAAACCCTAAACCCTAAATCCCCCTTAACCCCTTTTGTGCACTAGGACTTGAGACATCCTCCCCCTGAAACCTTAAACCCTAAACCCCCACGACCTGGAACCTTGGGGGCAGCGCAGCAACTTCATGAACCGCCGGCTCCCGAAACAAGGGACGACCTGCCGTCGCTTCTGCGAGAAACTCGTGCGTTGGGGGGGGGGGGGAGGGGGTTTAGGGTTCAGGGTTCAGGGTAGGGTCTGGGAGTCTTGGTGCACAAGGGCTTTGGGCTACCCCCAACTACATGTTCCAACCCCTAGATGCCGCTCCGGCTCTCGCTGCTTGCGCAGGCTGCACGCGACCCCTTTGCCCTTTGCCTCGGAGTTCTGGGTGCAAGGTGTAGAAAGCATCGGCACCTGAACATCATTCGGTTTGAGGGCTTCAGAAGCCAAAGTTGGAGGGTCATGTCGGGATCGAGCAAAAATGGCCTGAGGTTGAAAGGGCTTTGCGTTGTCATGACCCTGCCTTATATTTCGTTCTGTACAGATGTACACATGAATCTTTCTTTTGCCCGCGGCCCCGAACTAGGGCCGCAAACGCAAAAGCCTGAGCCGCAATGACATTATGGGCAGACCTCTGCACGCCCGAATATGTCCTCCGTTGTTGAGTTAGTTTCTTAGTAGCCCAGTAACCATCATGTAACACTTTATAAGGGAACCCAGAACGAAAGAACCGGGCAAAAAGTACCACAGGGCTACCATCTTACAGAATCTTTAAACCCCAAACACTTCTGCTTACGCAGAGTTTAGGGTTTAGGGTTTAGGGTTTAGGGTTTAGGGGATCTTTTTGTAACAGGCCCACCCAGGGACCGCCATGGAAAGACACTTCCGGCGGGGCACGGAGCGCCGATCCGACGAAGGCAGTGTGCGACCTGCACACTCGACCAGGTTTAGGGTTTAGGGTTTAAGGTCTAGGGTTTAGGGTTTAGGGCTTACGGTTTAGGGACTCTTAGACTTGACCATGTTTGGTGTGGCACAATGTCTCGGGGAAGGCGGGGGGGTGGGGGGCGGGGTGGGCATTTGGCGACTAGGACTTATTGTGATGGCGACCAGCAATCTTGTCATTGTTAGTTGTATAGTATTTAAAATGTTTTTTTGGGGAAAGGGTGTGTAGATCAGCGTTTTTTTAAGCAGCCTGCAAACCCAAGCTCAACTCCAATCCCAACCTCAATCCGGACGTTAAGCACTAAAGCGCCAACGCTACATGTTCACTCCTCTAAAATATGGTTGAACCCTAGAATCCTAAACCCTAAGCGCTACCGGGCTAAGGGGGACGTAAGGAGTTGTAGGCCAGGTCTCCTGAAAGCTGGACTCCATGAGGACGACCTTTAACAAACCCTAAACTCAAGAAGAAGCCCCTAAACCCTAAACCCTAAAACCCTAAACCCTAAACCCCAAACCCCAAACCCCAAACCCTAAACCCTAAACCCTAAACCGACCATGGAGTCAAAGTGGCGTGGTGCTCCAGTGGATGCCACGCTGCCCTGCAACTCGCAGAGCTTAAGGGCCTTTTGTTGTTGGAGGGTTGAGGGTTGAGGGTTGAGGGTTTAGGGTGTAGGGTTTAGGGTTTGGGGTTTAGGGTTTAGTGTTAAGGTTTAGGGCTTAGGGTCTTGGGTCTAGGGCTTGAGGCTTAGGGTGTATATGGTTTAGGGCCTGGGATACCTTCTAATTTGTAGGGATTGGGGTTTCAGGCAGGGTCAAGCAGGGTCCAGGTTCCTAAGGCCCTAAACCCGAAAATCTAGCACCCCCTGAGGCTGACAGAGGTGCTCTTCCTAGGAAGCTTGTGTCTCAGCAGCCCATCTCCTTTCAGGTATCAGGGCTTGAGGTTTAGGGTTGTCGAACCTCCTAGCTGCAAAGGATTTGGAGGCAGCCTCGGGCGAAGGCATCGGCAATGTGACCGCAAGACCTCGGACAGCTGTTAATGTCCCGTATTTTGGGGTCGGATGGTCTGATCATGTTTAGACTTCCCTAAGAAAAGCAGACGTGTTTGCATCGACTCTCCGAACACAAAACCCGTACAACTCCTCCGATCGAAAGACATCCTGCACCACAAGCATCCCCCCTTTACAGTGTTTTATTTTGGGAAGTATACCACCTATATTTTTTCTGCGTGCAACTATTGACCCTTGTTTATCTATGTTTATTGTGATTTTTTTCAGCACGCAGAGATGCTCAGCGCAGTACTGCATCGCCCCATCGCCCTGGATGCCTCGCTGGAAGAGGCGACCTGGGGCAGATTCTTCGCTTCGGAGGGAGGCCTCGAGTGCACAAGGTGCACAGAGACCTGAAACACCCCTGAAGCATGCAAGACCGTCTAAAGCAACAGAGGGATCCATCCGATCATCCCCTAAACCGTAAACCGTAAACCCTAAACCCTAAACCCCTTTTGCACAGGCTTGCGTAAACCCTAAACCCCAAACCCTAAACCCAACATTCCTTGATTTCTGAGGAGTATTGGAACTTCTGGGTTTCCACGATTTGGTACACACCATGGCCCGGCTCCTTGGGCCCTGGCAGGGTAGCACCTTGGGAGCAAGGATTAGGGGTTTTGGGGTTTTAAGGGTTTGGGGGTTCAGGGTTTGAGGGTTTAGGGTTTGGGGTTTGGGGTTTAGGGTTGTAGAGCCCAACACGATTTTGAAACTTTGCGAGCGAGGCTCTGGGTGATGATTGGGGGTTCAAGGGGGTATGTAACCCAAGGTTCCCGAATTCTCCCCACTGCTCCCTAAGCTTCCCTCAGGTTGCCCAGGTACCTACACCCCATGAAACCCCCCACCCTTAAGGACCCTGTAAATTGAGGGGTTTCGGGTTTAGGAGCTAGGGTTAGGGTTGCGGCATGACAAAGACTTCAACAGAAGCCCCTTGTCCAGTAAAGCCTTTTTCTACTCTTGGCTGATGGCACCACGACCGTGGCTATGGAGCCTCTAACAAGTGCACTTAGGTGCATTCTTCAGAATCGGCACCTGCGTCCCGAAATGGGCATAGTTTCTTTAAAGATTTCTTTCCCCAGCAGTTGCATGCACCTGCAGCTCTACTGATCAGCTGCATCACCTGCAACCCTGACAGAACGCCACCACCCACCCGCGCCCCTCACTCCAAAATACCCTGAAAGAGCTCTGGTGGTGGCTGGGTGGCGTGCGTGCACCATCCTGCTTACCTGGGATATGTCCCGTAGGCACGTAGGGTGTAGGCTTTGGTTTCCTCAATCATGGGGTATAGGGTTTAGGGTTTAGGGTTTAGGGCTTAGGGTTTAGGGTTTAGGGTTAACCCTAAACCCCAAACCCCAAACCCTAAACCCTAAACCCTTGATGTCGGCTTTCCAGCCGCGGTTTAGAGAATGACGGAAGGCAGAATTTCTCGATCTCGTTCGTCTAAGCTTTCGGAACTCTCGGAAACTTGAGCACAGCAAACATCAGCAAACCCTAGGATGGGCAGTAGAAGCTGGAACCCTGCAGCAAGCCCACTCCACTCCACCAACCCTCTCCTCCCCTCTCCTGATACACCCCCTCTAAACCCTAAACCCTAAACCCTAAACCCTAAACCCTAAACCCTAAACCCTAAACCCTAAACCCCTAAACCCTAAACCCCTTAAAGCCTTCCACCCACTGCTGTTTCTGGGGACGAAGGGCATTGGCCTCCTGCAGCAGCGTGCTGAGAAGCCGGGGCCCGGTGCCGCCCTTTGCGTCATCCTCGGGTCTCAAGAAGTGTTTCTTTTTTGGTAGGGTTTAGGGTTTAGGGTTTAGGGTTTAGGGTTTAGGGTTCAGGGTTTAGGGTTTAGGGTTTAGGGCTTAGGGTTTAGGGTTTGCGCGGGAAGGGCTTAGGGTTTGGGGCACGCAGGTTTAGTTCGGACTTCGGGGATATATTGGTTTGTAAATATGTCTCTGTATAGCTCTGTTTCGGGACCCCTCGAAGTAGGAGCTGTTTAAGCCCTCAACCCTCTGACTCGAGCCCGGACTCAAGGCCTAAGCCCGGAAACCCCAAAAAACTCCAAGCTCTACATGCGTTAAAGGGCCTGAATCTCACACATGCACATCAATACCTGCATTTGTTGTGTCTAGTCTTGAGAAGTTGTTGGTAAGTTGTTCTTGCTTAATCTACTGAACCCGTCAGTATGTGCATCTGGGTTGTTTACTAGCACTCATGCACCTCCTACATCAGTATGTGTTATTTCCAAAATATGCCCTGATAAATTCACTTTTCCATCTGTCAATTGAATTTTATGATGCGCTGTTTTTTTGCGATTAAATCTGATTGCCCTGCTCCATTTCCGCATGTCAGCCCGCAAGAAATACGCAGACACGTCTTTAGCCCATTGCCACAATGCAAAAAACTAAGCACATCTCCATCAGATTGGAATCTGCTGCCATTTCTTTGTCGCACGCACCTTCGACGATGTCACCTTCATATTACTGTGGAACTATGCTGTGATGATGCTGCAATGACTACGGCCAAGGGCATCATGGCCCTTGAAGCACTTGGGATACTTCTGGAACATCTCGTGCCAGAAGTAAAGGCTGGCCAATCAGTACTCTCGTTGGTCCCAGCAATATGCCGGGGCCCGTGCCGTCCATATGGTTCGTGCCCAGGGTCCTCTCAAGCCTCGATACCCAAGTCTGCGAGTTGCACCATACTGCACCTTTGGCCAGCAAAGGCTCGCCCATCATCGGCCTGCGCCGCGCGGTTCTATTGCAATCGGGCGGCAAAAGGGTTGACTACGGGGGTCTGGGACCAGACTCACAAGAGGACCTACGGCAGGACCTACGGCATGTATGGGTAAGGCTACATATGAGGCTCAAGGGCAGCCGATGAACTTGCCTGGGCGCCAGATGTGTTGGGCACACGGCCCTGCAGGCGGTCGAAGCAGAAGCGAAGGTGCGCGAGCCAGGAGCGGAGGTTTCGCACCATGAGTAGCAAAGCACGGCACAGTCTGTCAATGGTCCAGGAAAGGCAAAACGCACACCTGCTGGACTCATGGTCCTCTTCAATTGCTCTCAAACCTTCCTTGCTGATATCGTTGCCGATAATCGCGACATGTATTTCGCGGGCCTGCTTGGCTGCAGCCAGGGCACCAGCCCCCGCATCCCCGATGCAATTGCGCTGGAGATACAGATCCTCCAGCGATCGGTTCACCCGGAGGGCTTCCGCCAGATCCATGGCGCCCAGATTGCCGATTGAGTTGCAGTTCAGGTCCAGGCAGGCAAGGCTCCCATTTTCTGCGAGGCCCTCTGCCAGCAGGGATCCTGAAGCATTGCCCAAGCCACAGCACTCCAACCTCAGTGACTTTATGGGCGCGGCGCCGCTGCGCAAGGCCTCAGCGAGCGCGCGGACGGCTTGCAAAGACAGGGTACTTAATTGACCCCGCCGACTTATCGACTTATATGTACGTGATATGTATGTGATATGTATCGATTAAGTTGTTTATCTTGGAGTTAAGGTTGTTTTATATAATTAAGTTCCAGATAAGTTCGACATTTTTTTGCTTGACATATCTCGGACTTAGGAACTTATGCGTGTTATGTCAAACAAACTTATATAGAACTTATCTCTATTTATCTGTTTTGCATTTTGGGATGTTGTTCCCGGGTTCGCGCATGCATCTCAGCTAAAATTGAAGAAATCGGTCTTGCAGCCCCTGCAACAGATATTCTATAGTTGCATGGCAGCGTTAAAGCCTCCCCGGCCACCTCGGGACGCTTGCGTGCCTCCACGTCCGCGCGGGGGATGTCCGCCTGCATGGGCTCATATAAACCCGGACCCCGCGCCGCTACCATCTGGCGTCGTCTGCTGTCCGCGGGTGTCCGCGAGCCGGTCCGCAAACAAAATGCCAATGTCCGCGGAGTTGGCCTGCTTTTTCCTTTTCGCACGTTTTGTCTTGCCATGCTTGCAAGAAGCAAAAGGTCTCTCTGCAATTCTGGGCATAGTTTTCTGCCATGCCTTAAGCTGTGTGCCCGCGTTGTCGAAAAAAAAGGTGCTGTTCATGAAAACGATAAAAAAGCAAGCCTTCGAACTTACACACAACTTATCTCCTACTTAATCCGGACGTAAAATAAGTCCAACATAAGTTTCGAACAAGTTCATATGTTCCACGGCGTCAATATAGTAGAGCAGCTGAAGCTGATGCGTTGCAGTGTCGTCTTTCCCACCAGCTGCCGCACAAGCGCTTCGCTTGCGGCCCCATCGAAGAAGTACTCGATGTTGATGGAGAGGAGCCGAGTGTAGAGCGGCACGAGCTGCAGCAACGCAGGAACCTCGCGCAGAGGCAAGCCCTCGAACGCGAGCTTCTCGACGACCACCACCTTCTCTTCGAAGACTTTTTTCTGCAGCTGCAGCGCTACGAGGGCCCCGAGGTCCGCGCGGTGGGTGAAGTGGAGGTTCTCGAGCCGCTCTGCAAAGGACCCTGGAGTCATTGGCAGCTCAGCGGCTGGAGACATCGCGTCACACAAGCACACGCACAACGCCAAACCGAGTTGGAAGCAAACAAGAAGAACTTGAACCGGGCATGTGCATAACCAGCAGCAGCCCTTCAGTGCGTAGAAGGTGCGATACTGCCAGTCTGAGACATTCTGCAAGAAGAAGAAAAGTCGTGCCTTGGCCCGCGAGATATCGTTTGACTCGGGCCTCGACCACTCGACTTCTGCACAGCACCAGCCGCGGCACTTGTAGGGAGTCTCGTTCCTGGTGAGCTGGCTCAGCGGTTTCTCCTTCACGGCGCCGGCCTCTTTGTCATACACTGGCACTTTGCGGCCCGCCCAGAGCTCTCGGCACCACCAGCTTGCCGGCGTGAGGCGCTCAATGCGAAGAACACCCCAGCAGAAATCGGATGAGGAGTTCGCATAGAACAGGTGCATGGCCGTCATGGCACGGCCGAAGGCTTCTTCCTGGCCTGCACGAGGTTCAGGCCGGGCGGACAAGGGCATCCTTATTATTTAGTCAGAACCTCAGAAAACTCGCACCGCACACAAAACATGACTTCTGCCTTGTTCACTGCGCTTGAACTGGTACAAGCACATGTAGTCGATGAAGAATAGTTCGGGAGAGTCAAAATCTGGCATACTGTCCACAAGCTGTGCGAGCTGGAAGCCGCAGGGATCGGGGTGCTCCATGCACTCCCACGCATGGGACACCCCAATAAACTCGACGTCCTCGCCCTGCTTTGGCCTATAGAGAGCATCCGGCTCGTTCTCAGCCTCCTGCCGCCTTGGCCACACCCGCCCTTCCTCTCGAAGCTTCTTCAGGTACTCAGCCCGGACGAGCTTGATGTCCGCATCGTGGAGGTAGCGGACAAAGTCATCCTTGGAGTGCAACCGGTAGCTGGAAGCATCCGGCTGGAGCGGCTCCTGTCTTGAAGGTGTCTGTATCTCGAACCTTCAGCCCTAAAGGTCTCAGCCCTTGATAGGGTTTAGGCTTCGGATTTCTACCACACTTTCCATTACAAACCCTCGAATGCCCCGACCTTCCTAGTTTCGAGCCCCTGTCCGTGTGAGAGAGCTGTGCTGGCGACGCATCGTCGCAACTCATTGTGGGGCATGAACGCGTTCTCATGGGTGCTACGAGCGCCCGTTGGCCCTTCCTGGAAAGCTGCTGTGGGCCAACAACAGCCCAAGTTCCCCAAAGTGGGCGGTCAAGAGTAGGGGGAAGCCTGTTTGGGCCCAAAACCCTATCGAAGCCTCAACCCTAAATGGGGTTTAGGGACTAGGGTGGTTCGAGGGTGTCGGGGTTCAGAGCTTAAAGAACGGCAACCCAAAGCCTGCCCTGAATTCTTTAGCGAGTTCGAGCCGCAAGGCTTAAGGTGTTGCTTTTGTTTATTGTGTTTTTGTTTCAGGCGTTGAGTTTTTCCTGTTCAATATAGGCTTGAGGCTTTATAAGGTCTTAGGGAGGTGTTGAGTTTTCCTGTTTAGTACTTTAGGTTTTAAGGGGGCTTATTCCAGAGCCACATCATGGGTAGTTGTGACACTACGGCCCGTGATAGCCCCGCACGTCCTGAGCCCTCAGCTCCACACCCTATAGGCCCTAAACCCCCAACCCTAAACTCTGGGGGCAGCACCCAGCGATGCTGTCCGGGAGCTTCGAAGCATCGCTTCAACACAAGCCTCGAGACTTATGCTAAGCCCTGAATCCCAATCCAAACTTCAAATGACATTATGTGAGCCTAAGCCCTATCCCTAAACCCTCCAAACCCCAAGCTGAACCCTACGTTGTGAGCCCTGAGCCCTCTTGATTCTAAACCCTCGAAACATTCCCTGGTTGGGATTCACGGCTGGCGCTCAGGGGTTCAGGGTTGAGTGAGGGCCGACCTAAAAGAACTTCGGGCTTACAGGGCTTTTCGGGTTTTACAGGGAGTTTGCAGGGGAGGCTTATGGCTTTGCAGCGGTTTAGGGCATGATCAACTCCGCTTATGAGATGTAGGGACTTGGGAATGTTGGGTTACATGGTCCCGAAATTGCCTGAATATGGGCCCTGAAAAGGGGACCCCTTACACCACATTCTAGAAATGCCCTGTTTTGGGGGTTGGGTACTTGATAAGGCAACCTAGAACCAAAAAAAAAAAAAGTGGCAACAGAGTACCACTGGGCTACCAAGTTGAAGGGTTGATGGACTGACGGGTCGAGTGCTTGTCCGCCTCCAAAACGGATGTCGCGGCGGTGAGGCCTCGAGATCTGCCCCACGGTCTGAGAGGGCTTTGAGGAATTTAGGGCCCATTTTTAGGGGCGTTATGGTAGAGGCAAAGGGCTTAGGTCGTATACGCTCTCCAAACAACCGCGTTGACATTCTGGGGCTTAAAGTTCCGGGCTTAAGGGTTCAGAGTTTAGCGAAAAAGCAACTCCCCTCTCCCCCCCTGTAGTTGACCAGAAGGATATTTTCGAATCCTAAACCCGAAAGTTATAAACCCTAAACCCTAAACCCCTGGATCCACCGCTAGGAACACTGCCCCTGCTGCCGGCAATACACTCGTTACTACCGGTGACAGACGCCCTTTTCTACACGCTGAACATCCGCATCTTTCTCATTGAGAGGTGGAGCACATCGAGTGGACGCTCAGCTAGCTGTCGGGAAAGCCACAGGTGCTTTGAAGGAATATATCTCCCCTCTGAACCCTCCTAAAGCGAAACTCTGAATGACTCCTATAAACCTCCAACCCCTAAGCCGCCACAGCAAATCGACCCAAACGTAAACACCGCAATAGTTGCAATAAACTCTGCCTGAGCATCCAGGGACGAATCAAGGGGCGGTCTTCGATAGCTGACATCATGCTAATCCGCTTGTTCAAAATCCCTCTATTAACCCAACGAGCCCTGGACTCAACACCCTAAACCCCACTGCAACCCCACGCTTAAAACTCTTAACCCTCAAAACCCTATAAATCCTAAACTCCCTTGTGAACCCTCAATGTGCCTTGAGGCCACTCACTAACATTCACCAGCATTCCTGCATCTTCCCAAACCTCTCCTCAAGCAGGGAATAGTAGGGACCTTCCTATGCAATGTGGCTATCCTTGTTTGAAAAGGGGAGGGTTTAGGGTTTAGGGTTTAGGGTTTAGGGTGAGGGCATGAGGCCAGGGCCATCAGAGCATTCTCCACGTCCAGGCCCTGATCCTGCAGCCGTAGCTTCCGGTGATTCTGCTGGGGGGGGGGGGGGGGGGGCGTGGCTCAGAATGCGTTGGAAGGGTTTAGGGTTTAGGGTTTAGGGTTTAGGGTTTAGGGTTTAGGGTTTAGGGGGCTTCGCAAGGATGCTCCAGCAAACAAACCCTGTGATGCCTGGGGAGATTTTGCGAGTTCCGGGATGCAGAGGCACCACCATCAGCAAGCCAACTTCGTACCCAGAATATGACCACACACCCCCCGCTTACAACATATTCCCACGAACATGTATCCGATTGCTGTATAGACCCTAAACCCTAAACCCTAAACCCTAAACCCCAAACAACGGGAAAGATGAACTTTCCCTCGGGAGCCGGAGGTGAGGTCTTTAATGTTAGGGCTTCCTAAACCCTGAACCTAAAACACTAAACCCTAAACCCTAGACCCTAAACCCCTAAACCCCTAAACCCTGGCTTCCAGGCCTTGGATCGGCACTCAACCAAGCTCACGAGATGCGCGGGAAGCCTGAGGAGTCTGAGAGCGGGTCCTTTTGCGGTTCCTCTCATTAGCCCCCTGTCCTAGTACAGGGTCCTTTTGGGTTCCTATGATAATCGGGACTCTTAGGCTTAGGGGTTTTCGGGATTGAGAGCTGGCTCGTGGGATGTTGAGTCAGCGAAGCGGACTGACGAAAGCAAGCGCGTGATGCCCTAAACTCTAAACCCGAAAAAAACCCTAAACCCTAAACCCTAATCCGTGTTAACCAAACAAACCGAAAGCTCGTACCGGCTTCGTGCGTTTTGTTTGAAAGGACTCAGCTGAGCATGCCAGGCAGCTCCCTAAACCCTTTTTGCTTCAGGGCTGCTTTGGTAGCTTGCCTGTGAGCGAGCTTGTTCAGGTGACATCATGCGAGTCGGATGACTTCGTCAACGACCCTGTCCTGAACCTCTTCAAACACCAGTATCTGGGATTGTTGCCCTAAACCCTAACCCTAAACCCTAAACCCTAAACCCTATACCCTAAACCCTAAACCCTGAACATGCCAGGCAGCTCCGCGTAGAAGTTGGCCCGCACCTGTGCATGCCCAAGTTCATCCCGCTCGCCCCGAAACAAGCTCAATGTTTCCCTAACGCCAAACACCTTTAAACAAAAAAAACTGCTTTATTAAAATTGAATTTTTTAAATTTAGACCTTCAAGCCTTCCTGACCAAAGTTACACCCCACACCCCCATTTCTATCGCCCGACGCCTTGAGAGGTACCAGCTTTATTAGGGTTTAGGCCTTGGAGCCCACAAATCCCTGGAATCCCTCAAGAACTTTTTGATACGAGTATATGGGCTGAGGGCGGCGCCAACGGCGCCAACACATCTGAAAGGGGTCCCTTCTTGCCTAGTTCATGGTTGGGAAAGCATAAAAATTTAAATGTCGATCCTGTGTTGGGTTGAAGTACCCTTAAAGATGCAACATGTTACGCAACTATATGACAAAGTTTCATCCCCAGGTCCACAATCACTCGCAAACCGACCAGCGCACTCAAATATCATCCCTAAATGCGAACAAACCTCGAAATGTACTCCGGACATTACGACTCTTTCGCACTCCAGGAAGTCCTCGGACTCCTGGCCACCTTTTCCGGTTGGTGCTAGTTAGGGGTGTGTTAAGGCAAAAATATAGGCCACGACACTTTCACGGAGGTTGGGGTTGAAATGAAAAAGCCTCGTAGTCTAGGTCTGCGTAGATGCCGCCCTGCTGGTAGAGCGCGCAATAGCGGCCGATGTCTGACCCTGGCCAAGTGATGGCAGTTCGGGTTTCGTGTTGGGGTGTGTTTTCTGCTTCGCTGCAAGGTGCTTCTGGGTGTACTGCGATAAAGGCAGACTTGTACAACCGATTCTTTTCTAACTAGGCTGTCGACGAATGTCCACTTTTCAGCTGGCAACCCAGAACGAGCAACAGCATACTGTACTTGCAGCCGGCTGCAAACCCTGCACATCCCAGCAAAAAAAATGTTGCCGTGGCGACCCGCAACCCTACACCCACACCCCTTAAAGCCCTAACGGCTCATGTACCCACACAGTACATACTTGGGCCCTGAAGCTATTATATGGGGACCCCGTTAAGGCCCAAGTAGATACTATTTATATAGGTGCATGGACCCTTTGGGAAGCCCAATAACCCACCTTTCAGGAACATCCCCATGCTCCTCCATGGCACACCCCATACAACAGCGCCGGCGCGGCGCTCGATGCCGCCGGGAAGTGCCAGGAATCCGGCCAGAAATTCCGGGAACTCCTGTGGGTCTTTGGACTTAGGCTATACATGGTCCCTGAATATGGCCCCTTCATTGGGGAACCCTTATATACCCACAATCTACCTAGAAAACCCAAGGAGCCATACTTCAGAAACCGTTGAAGAAGGTGAGGTGCCATATAACATCCCCTTATTTGGAGGCTCATGGTACTTATTAACCAACTAGAGCTGTACTAATTATAACCGCTGATAAGCCCCTTAAGTGCCCTAATATGGTTATAAGTACAGTTATAAGTACAGTTGTAGTTGGTCAATAAGTGCCATGGACCTCCAAGTTTTAGTGAATTCTGCGATTCCCTCGGTTGCCGCACACGCGCAGGCAACGCTGTGGAGTCCACAACTTACGATTGAAAGGGTCAGCCACAGCAAAAAGTCTGCCTTGGGATGTTCCCCCTGAGACTAACAGTCCTTGATAGGGATCATAATTGAGGGTACTATAACCCTTCTTCATGACTGGTGGTCCTGGTTCTTGCCAGTTTGGGGCAGGAGCAAGGCACAACCTTTGAACCCAACCAGGAACCTCGCAAGTAAGGGAACCTAGTCCCCTCACAAAGGGAAGATGTCTACTGTAGGGGTCGGAATAATTACTAATTCATGTTTTTTCCCTTATGGTCCCTGTAGAATCATACTATAACCCCATTCAAATTATTAAGGCCCCTACAATACCACAGGACATCTTAACCAAAGACAAAACAAAACCGTCGTCAGTCCTCTCGCATGCAGTCCTGCAGTGGCGGGCTTCCGAAGTCATCCAGGTCTTTCTACAGAAACCCCTAAACCCTAAACCCTAAATAACCCTAAACCCTAAACTCTAAACAATAAATAACCCTAAACCTGAATTCCAAAACCCTAAACCCTATGGCCTAAAGTTGCGGAATCATGACTAGATAGGCCCTTCAACCTTCCTGAGACATTCCCAAACGAGATCCTGCTAAACATAGGCAACATCCCAAGAACCTACCCAAATGATAGTCTTCCTTCATGTGATCTGCTCGGGTGCGGCTGAGGTGAGTTTCGGGCTTCTTTCTAAACAGGGCCACCCATGTGCATTCGAGTAGCTGTGAGGTTGTGGTCTCGCCAAACCTCGGCGGTCCGAGAGTTCGTTCGGGCACTCCCATGAAAAAAATTGAGCTTGCCACTTCTCTTCAAAGGCGGTGATTAATTAGCAGGAGGTCGGTCCCCCCTTGGGATGTTTGGGTTTGGGTGGCTTTTTGGAGGGCTCGGAGTAGGAATAGATGGGAGCTGTGTCAGGCTCCGGGGGGCTTGAGAAGGCCTTGTCGCGCAAGGCTCTCTGAGGATTCATAAATTTGTGCTTTTGTGGAGGCGTTTTGGGGTTCTTTTTGCAAGGGGTCTGCCAATGTCTAACAGGCCCCGGAGGTAGACAGGGTTCGGGACCTATACCCCGCGCAACGAAACTGAGGGCGCCTTGTGCGTGTAGCCACCGTAGGCAGGAAAATGCCGCTGCCAACTGCGCAAGGCCACTTCCTGGTGGAGTTTCGCGTTTAGGTCGGGTTTGGGACCTGGATTTTGGGATGTTTCCCCCTAGCATAATCCCTATTAAGGACCGTTAGTACCTGTTTGCATAAGGGGGAACATCCCAACCTGCAAGACTTCAGAGTCCTGTGTTGTCCTAAAGGCACAAAGGGCCGAGTCCCCTTTCTACCCTGCGGGTGCTCAACTACACCTCCTGCAAGGGCCCCAGCAGGTACCCGTAAGATTGTTCCTCTACAGGGCTCCGTCTGTGGCCCTCCTGCCTGATAGCCCGGCTTTATACTCGGAATGCTTAGTGAACCCTTGATGCACAAACCTAAGCCTATACCGCTCTAGAACGTAATACTTCGCTTGGGGCATAGCTGGCGAACCCGCACAAGTTGGGGTTCCTGGCTTCTAGGATTTGCAGGGTTGATGTTTACAGGGTGTATGGGTTCATCTGTTGGTGTACAGGGCTCTGGAGGGTTGCGACTCTCACAACTAGTGCACTGCAGGCAAGGCTTTGTAGAGCTTAGGGCTTCGGGCTGGCAAGCACGTGATGACATGTTACCCTAAACCTCGAACCCTACTCCCCTGCGCAAAGCTAAGGTCCGGGCCCAAATCAGCACAGGAAACCTCAGCCGCATGACAGCAAGACGCCCTAAAGCCCTGAAACTCCCAGCTGGCCTTTCTTGACCCTCTTGCGGTGGGCTTCTGAAGATCTCGCCTAGTCGGTGGGACCCCTAAACCCTCTAAAAGCCTTAAACCCTAGAACAAAACCCAAAAACCCTAAACCCTAAACCCTAAACCCTAGGAAGGATAAGACTCCGACGCGCCGACGCCCAACTTTCGAGGCTGCTCGGGGCGGGTGAAGTGCCTTGGCAGAAGGGTGTGTAGGCTTCTCCTGAAGTTATGATCAACCCTCTTCGCCCCAAGTAACACGGTGCAGGCTTTCCTGAAATACGTCATCTGATCCCCTAATTAGGCCCCAAGTATGGAACATATTGAGTTTCCCCTGGGCATGCCAAGGGGGCTGAGCATTGGGTTCCTTACACAGTGTGTTCCAGGTTGGCTTGCAATTTGTAAGGATGCGCATGGATACGCACTAGCACTAGGGTTGAGGGTCAACCTTCATTATGAACCCTAAACCGAGAGATGAAACCGTAGACCCTTGACCTGAAATCTTGAAGCAGCCGTTTGCTCTGTCCCTCTCTCCCGCTTCGCTCCCTCTCGCCGAAAACGGCATTTGTTTTAGAGGAGGGAGCGTTTGCAAGGGCAGAGACAATACCGACTGTTTTCTAAGGAGGGGAGGGAGGGGCGGGTTCAAAAAACCGACTTTAGGAATCCTGGAGGATGGTTCCTGCGCGCAAACCTACCAAGCCCAAAACGCTTTAAATGCCCCGGCAACACTGCGCCGTAAATCTCCAGAAGCCACCACCCAGCAACTGAAAGCCCAGCCCCTCCACCGACACCTTACACCATTTTTGAACCCGGACCCTCAACCCGTGAACTCAGAAGCCCTAAGCTTGTGAGATTTTACCCTAAACCCTAAACCCTAGATCCAAAGCCCTATAAACCCTAAATCGAGCTTCCCCGAGCATGGCTTTCCTTGGCCTTCGGGCACGATCTTTGGCAACGGCACCCGGCCATCCTCACCACGATCAGGTCTTTGCTTCGTGCTACTTTAGGGTTTAGGACTTAGGGTTTAGGGTGGCTCTTCCGTCCCTAAGGCACCTGACAACTGTTTTCCAAAAACCCCAAACAGTAAACGCGAGTCACAAACCCCTAAGCCTCTTGTCCCCCCCCCCCCCCCCTCCCATGCAAATCCCAAATCCTCTAAGCCATCATACATCCGAACCCTTAGAGTAGGTAAGGGACCCAATTAAGGGCCCATAGAGCTACCCTTAGACTGCACAAAGCCGAGAAACACTATGAAGCCTTAGGATCCGCCGCACGCTGCATGCTTGTTGTGCTTGGTGCCTTGCCCCAAAGCGTAATAGTCAAGTTGGGGCGTTTGTTTTTTTGCATCTTCAGTGTTTAGATGTGTTTCAGAGTTTGGGGCTTTTAGGGCTTGCTTTTGTTGAGGCTGTGTCCCGTGTAGAGTTTCCTAGAACAAAATGTAGAAAGGTCGACCAATGGAGTCACTAAAGGTTGCCCTACCCAAAAATTGGGATTGAAGGTTACCTTCTCGACTAGACTTAGGTTCATCAGATCTCGCGCATCTCAGCAACAAACCTACAAGGAAGCACCCTAAACCTGAAACCGAAAACTCTAAACCCTAAACCCTAAACCCCCTAAACCCTAGACCCTAAACCTTAATTAAACCCTGAAGTTGGCTGAGTCCCGGACTGTTGCCACCATGGAGAAGCATGGCTGCGTCAGCCAACTTTGTCAACTGCTCCGACTGCTGCAGGCTTCTCAGTTCTCACCCTAAAACCTAAACACGAAACCCTAAACCCCGATCCCTAAACCCTAAACCCTAAACCCTAAACCTAAACCCTAAACCCTAAACCCTTTTTCAGAACCTGAAACCCGACAAAAACCTTTGTCCGTGAGCCCAACGGTCGAACATTTCAAGGGCCTTGATGGTCCAGGTCCAGGTGGTCTTGAGGGTTTTTAGGGTTTAGGATTTAGGATGGTTTAGGATTAGGGTTTAGGGTTTAGGGTTTTTAGGGAGGGCTTTAGAGTGCCCAGCTTCTGGGAAAGGGGTGAGGGGGGTTGTTTTTTTTCTAGTTGGGGGGGCTTCAAGCCGATCAAGGGGTTGGGGGGCGTTCAGTGATTGAGGCTTCCCAGAAGTAGGGGGTACCCTTTTTGGGGGCTCTTGTAGGAAGGTTACTGTACTTTGGGATGCTGTATATTAAGTATGCTTACCCCTATTTTGGGACATGCCGGAAGCTGAACCTAACTCGAGCCACAGAAAAAGCTCACTGGCGGAGTTCTGCACGGCTTCGTCTGTGGCTGCCTGGATGCGACTCACAACCCCCCCCCCCCCCCCCCAAAAAAAAAAAAAAAAAAAAAACTGTTCTAATCATTCAGGCCCCTATGTTAGAGGAACGGGCCTGGGATATGATGGAAGGCGTGGAACCCGGTGGCATCCCAACTCCTTTTAGTTCTCTGGACATCGGCATCTGCATTAGGGGCCGGAGAGCTTGTGAGGAAGGGTTTCGTGTTTAGGGCTTAGGATTGGGGGTAAGCAAGCCCTAACATCAACATGCCTTGGGATGTTCCCCCTCATACTAAGGACTGTTAGTATAAGGGGGAGCATCCCAAAAGATGCCCTTAGTCACTAAAACTTAGTCACTAAAAACCAATGAGTATCAATCCGAATTCTTCCCCAAAACGGGTTAGGGTTTAGGATTTAGGGTGTAGGGTGTAGGGAGGAGGGTTTGGGGTTTAGGGTTTAAACCCTACTTATACACCCGGCAACCCAATAGACTCCGCTTCAGACTTTAGCCCTGCACACCCTTTTCGTCTTTGGCCTCGCGTCCAGTCGCCAGGTTGGCTGCCGGGCCCTACAGACCAAGAGCCACCTAGAAAAACCCCACACGTCCGACGATAGACCCCCTAAAAACCGTATATAAACGCTAAACTAACAAACGCTAAGCCCTGAAACCCCTACTCCCTTAAGCTTCTAAACTCCCAAGCCGCTGTAAGCACCTAATCTCCTACACCCTAAACCCTATATCCTAAACCCTAAACCCCTAAACCCCAACCCCCTAAACACATAACCCCCTCAACCCTAAAACACCCTAAAAGCCCAAACCCTAAACCCTAAACCCTAAACCCTAAACCCTAAACCCTAAACCCTAAACCCTAAACCCTAAACCCTAAACCCTAAACCCTAAACCCTAAACCCTAAACCCTAGCCCTAAACCCTAAACCCTGAACCCCAAGCACTCTCAGCTGCCTCCTGGAGCCTCCGGGCCGGTCTCATCGGGTGGCGACGCCTCGGGGATCGGCTCCTTCGCGCCGCCCTCGCCCTGAAGGTAGTCCTCTTCGGGGTGTTAGGGGGTTTGGGGTTTAGGGTTTAGGGCTAGGGTTTAGGGCTTAGGGTTTAGGGTTTAGGGTGTAGGGTTTAGGGTTTAGGGGTTTAGGGGTTTAGGGTTTAGGGCTTAGGGGCTTAGGGTTCAGGGGCTTGGGGGTTTAGGGGTTTAGGGGGCTGAGGGTTTAGGGGTTTAGGCTTTAGGGGGTTTAGGGTTTAGGGTTTCGTGGAAATTGGTGTTTGGGATTTGGGCTTGATCGCTCGCGCTGGGGTTTGGGAGGTTGAAATAATATGGTTTAGGGAAGTTGGTCGGGTTTAGATAGCTTTGTGTTGAGGGTGGATATAGGGCCAGAAACTCAGCTGCAGTTTTCGTAGTAGCTTCCCGAAGCCCTAATCTTTTGTCCATGGGTTCGTGGGAGATTGTGGAGGAACCTAGCCCTAACGCAAGAGGGTGAAGAAAGGTACTGCTGGAGGCACGGAGTTACCTAGGGAGATTTTTGGGGCTTGCGGGTTCACGGCCTTCTTTTTGCCCCCCAAAAGAGCCCCATCTCTTTGCAGGGGTTCTTGGGGAGCAGAAGCCGAAGCCAAGAAAGCCAAGAGCCAGGCTTCTGAGCAGGCTCAGGTTCAACCGAGGAACCTTGATGTTTGGTCTTTGCCAGAAAGTTCTTCAAGGGTTTTAAGCATCATGTTCAGGGTCTAGGGTCTAGGTTGTAGGGATTCTATTTAGGGTCTAGGTTGCAATAGGGTTGAAGGGCTTTGGGATTGTGTTCAGGGCCCTTGGGCCTTCACATGGGTTTAGGGCAACAGGAAAACCAGCAGCGCCTCGAACTCCTTGACCATGGCCTCCAGCACCTTTCTCGCGGTTGAGGACTTAGGGTTTAAGGTGTAGGGTGTAGTTGTTCACATGCGTTTGCGGGGAAAAGGTCAGGTTGTACAATAGCCCAAGTTCTGGTTGTCACTGTAAGTGTTTGAGTTGGGTGTCAGGGGCTTTTCCGGCTGGATAGACAAGCCTCCAGAGATAATAACAGATACAATATACAGCTGCAAGATCATAGCCCCCTACCCACTCTCTCAATCTGTACTGCTTGCCAGACATGTCCAGGCTGTTGCACACCCTAAACGCTAAACCCTAAACCCTAAACCCTAAACCCTAAACCCTAAACCCTAAACCCTAAACCCTAAACCCTAAACCCTAAACCCTAAACCCCGCTGTTGGCACGAGGATTGCGGCGCAGGCGCCTCCTGCCGTCGCTCGGCTGCTGGGCGCAGCTCTTCACGCACGCGCATCTGGATGCCTCACAGTTTGGGGCTTCGGGCCCCGAACCCCAAGCCCTAAACCCTGTAAACCCTATGGACCCTAAACCCTAAACCCTAAACCCTATCAGCCTGTTTTAAACGAAAATTGGGCTGGAAACCAGTGTAACGATCTGAACATGTTCACATTCAGTCAAACGAAAGCTGAGAGCCCCTAAGCCCTATAAGCCCAAAACCCCATGGCGCTATATCTCTATAACTCTGTATAACCCTAAACAGCCCAAACTAATTGTGCTTTGGGGTTTGCTGGGCTTTGAGCCCTGGTGATGGGAGATCCTTTGGAACCAAGAGCTTTTGAAGCTCAACTGCCACCTTGGGCCATCACCAATCCCAAACAAATCCTCCGGGTTAGGGTTTTTATGGGGTTTTGAGAGTTTTTTATAGCATGTTCATATTTTCATGGGGTTCGTAGGATTCGTAGGGTTTAATTCTAAGGTGTTTCAGGGTTTATAGCATATGCTGAACCCCCCGTGTGTGACTCCGGAAAGCACCCTCCAGATCGGCCCAGCTGCGTCCATTCCACAGGCTCCTGTCGAAGCCCAGAAGGGGGGTTTAGGTTAGGGGTTGTTTTGGGTTACCCTCAGCGAGAGAGAGAGAGAGAGAGAGAGAGAGAGGTAGGTAACCCTAAGCCCTATAAACCCCAATAGAGACAGAGACAGAGTCAGAGACAGAGACAGAGACAGAGAGAGATATGGAGAGAGAGAGAGAGATGGGGTCTCCAGTTGACCATGGCGCCCGACTTCGTCTTCCAGCTGGTGCTCCCTGCACCCACCTCCAGGGCTTTCTGAGGTCTTTGGCTTCAGCACGAAGCTCGGAGTACACATACTATATGAATTATTCTGTTACAAAATTCGTATCTTATTACATCGTCGTAAGAAAGATATATGAACATCCCCCCCCCCCCCCCCCCGACAAAAAAAGAGTGCTGGGTGAATGTGAAGACATGTACAGCGCGCGCATCCGATGCGGTCAGGGCGCCATGTCGCACTCCCCCGTGGACAGCAGATCCTGCCGGGACTGTGAACGCCAAGTGCTGGAAGATTTGAAGTTTGTGCGACACGTAGGCTTGCAGGGCTCAAGCTAAGCCCCGAAAAGGTTTAGGGCTGATAAGGGTATATGGGGGGCCCGGATGCTTTAGTGGGGCGGCTGGGCGGGGGGATTTTGGGTGTGGGTGTCAAGCTTCAGGCAGACTTCTGACGGCGTTTGCAATCTCGCCTTCTGCAGATCCGGATGCTGGAGGAACTTGGCAAGGTTGATGCGGTACATCAGCTCGACCTGCATTCCGGCTATCGGGGACAGGATTAGGGGGACCCTTGAAAACGCAGACCCTCTCGATATGGTCCCTGTTTAAGAGAGCCACAAATAAAATTGAAAAGGGTACCCTTTCAGGGTCCCCCTAATAAGGGAATGTCTGCGCCAACCTGCCAACCCCGCGGAAACAGGGCGGGCTAAAACGCAGTAATAGAGACAGCTCAGCTGACGTTGCAATGCATCCCTAATCCTACTACCTAGGAGGCCAGTCCAAACGACCTTTTAGGAAAAAGGGATCACTACTCCAAACCACCTCCTGTTTTGGGCGAGGCCAAGTGCTTGCAAAGATGGGAACACTTCGTCCAACAGCTCCTGTCCGGCATCCTCGTGCAAGCAAGCAGAGTAGAATGCTGTACTTTAAGGTTTGGGGTTTAGGGTTTAGGGTTTAGGGCTTAGGGTTTAGGGTTTAGGGACCACTCTGGGCCCGACCCAAATCATCAAATTCTCGGCGCGTAGAGATTCCCCGCAAGACGGAGCCACAAATTGCCCTGACCTGTTGATCTCAACGCGTAACGCCCGAAGCCCTATAACCCTAACCCCGAACCTTAAACCCTGAAAGCCTATAAACCGCAAACATTCCAAAGCCTAACCACTTTTACTCACAAAACCCGGAGGCATGCAAGCGGAGCCTTCACAGCCTCCCAATCCTTTCTCAGGTTGCCTTGGGCTCAAGGATTCGCGGGCACCGTGGGCCAATGAAGGAGGTCTTGAAGGTTTAGGGTCTTAGGGTTTATATGGGGTTCCTGTGATTTGGGGTTTCGGGTCTTAGGGCTTAGGGATGCTTACGGCGCAGGGTTTGGCATTTAGGGTCATGGGGCTTGTAAGGGGTTGTAAGGTCCAAGGATTAGCGTACGGCAAGCTTCTTGCTGCTTGAAGCAGAGTACAGGTCCAAAACCCGGAAGCTTGAAGCAGACAATGTTTCCACACGCGCGGGGACATGCCACTACCAGGCAGTGAAAAGCCGAACACTCGCTTGCGGCCACAAACCACACACCCAACCTTTGCCTGAGAATCCCTATGTCCACGTATGTCACGCACAGGAGCTGTGGCGTTGTCCTTCATTCCAAACGCGCATGCCGTGGGCTGAGTCATTGGGATCCTTTGCAGGCCAGGAGGTGCAGGGTTAGGGTTTAGGGTTTAGGGTTTAGGGTTTAGGGTTTAGGGTTTAGGGTTTAGGGTTTAGGAATTAGGGTTTAGGGTTTAGGGTTTAGGGTTTAGGGTCTAGGGTTTAGGGGTTTAAGGGTTTAGGGTTTGTAGGGTTTACGGGGATACTGTGGGCTAGCACGGCGTGCTCTTCACCGCCTTCAGCATGAAAACTGGCCGCTTGGTTGTCCCCAAATGTCAACAAACGGTGCCCTGGTTGGTGTCAAGTTTAACTTTTATGCGCACGCCCAGCAAATCCCTGTACTGCCGGTTCAAAAAGACTTTCAAACTTTCAATATTCCGATGCAGCCAGGAATCAACCTCAAAGCCCACAGCCACCCGGAAAGACTCAAGTATCCAGGTTCGCGAGAGGACATTGGCAGAGGCTAAGAATCACTAGTTGCAGGCAGTACGCATGCTGCGACAGAAGCCACACCAAAGAAAGTAGTGAAGCTCCCTATTTCTGTGGAGAAGAGCGGGCAAGACACATCCAAACTCGGCGCCCCCTTTTGCGCCACAACGCTTGCAAACCTGAACCTGAGCCTCTGCATCCCAAGCCGTGTCACAGTGACACCCCATAGAACCCATACCTCACCCAGCCCCACAAACTCAAAGCCGTGCGCTAGCACCTTGGCAGTCTTTTTGATGCTGCGGAGCTTCTCCTTGGGCAAGAGACACGGCACAACACTAGGACGGCCCTTCAAACCCTCCGAAACATATTCCTGAATCTGATCCTCTTAAAACCCTCCGAAACATATTCCTGATCATGATCCTCTTAAAACCCTCCGAAACACATTCCTGAATATGATCCTCTTAAACCCGCTAAGGGAACATATATAATGTTCCAAGGGCCTACCGAGAACAGGCTTCAACCCTCTCATGCGACCGACCCTCAGCATGCCTAAGCCCCAGGTCTCCGTTTGCAAGACCCTAAACCCCAAACCCCAAACCCCAAACCCCAAACCCCAAACCCCAAACCCCAAACCCCAAACCCCAAACCCCAAACCCCAAACCCCAAACCCTAAACCCTAAACCCTAAACCCTAAACCCTAAACCTAAACACGAAGATCTCGAACCCGAAGTCTGCCGGACTAAAGCGCCATGCAACAGGCTGAGGGAGAGGGCTTCCACTCTAAAAACTCGCTAAAGGCCTCACCGAGTAAGGGAAAAACCTCGATAATTTTAGCAAAACAGGAGTTGAGGCAGATACTGATGCTGCTACTCTCCTAGACTGCTAGAATGGTCCTTCCCATTGCTGCCCGAAGTTCTTCCAAACAGCTCAACCAGGAAGACGGGAACGCCCTAAACTCCAAAGCCTACAGCCCTAAATTCGACATCCTGAGCCCGAATTTGTGCTTTTTAGGGTTTTTTAACGTTAAAAGAACTTTTTTTTAGAGTTTTTTAACGATAAAAAAACCCTAAGTTTGGGTTTTTTTCGGGTTGCCTTAGACCATGGCGGCACCCTCTCACAAACGTGTGCCTGCAAGGTCTAAGGTGTGGGCTTCTTGGGGTGCTTCTTTTGCTGCAGTTTAGGGGGGTTTAGGGTTTAGGGTTTGGGGTTTAGGGTTTAGGGTTTAGGGTTTAGGGTTTAGGGTTTGGGGTTTAGGGTTTAGGGCTCTTTCTTTTGTCACCTGTCTCGGGGACCTCTCGGACACACTGCAGGAAACTCAGGGGCTTGGGGTTTAGGATCTTAGGCCAGGCCCTCCCTTGAGGCATGCGGACCCGTAGGCGAAGACCCGTAGGGTCCACATGCACAGAATAAGGACACTATACAGAAGAAGGTTCAAAAATCTCCTGCGCCTGCTGAAGAAGAGATCAGAAACATCCTGCCGTATGGGTTCCAACACCCTGCCTAAAACCCGGCAGAAGTATATTCTTGTTAGCGCACAGTCTACATTTGGCCCAAATCAAGCAACAAATGACTAGGTGGGAGGCGGGCAAACGACAAATCCCAGCGTGCAGATACCCCTAGATAAACTCTAAACCTGTCGAGGTGTATTGCCATGTCGTGGCCTGAGCGCATTGTAGCGAAACCTGTACCCTAAACCCTACACCCTACACCCTAAACCCTAAACCCTAAACCCTAAACCTAAACCCTACACCCTATATAAACTCTAAACCCTAAACCCATGTCCTGGGTCGCGTGGTCTTTGAACCTGAGCAACTCTCGGTGGCACAGAGATCTTGGGATTCCGCCTCTTTGGCAGGGCTTGGGGCCTTATAGGGTTTAGGGTTAAGGGTTGTGGGTTTATAGATGTTATGGGTTCATAGGGCCCAGAGGGTTTATAGGGTTTTATAGGGTTTGTAGTGTTTTTCGGGCTGATCGGTTATAGGCCTTCTAGGGTTTATAGGGTTTCGGCGCCCACGCTCGCTCGAGGCAGGCAAGGCTTCGGTTGGAAAGGTCTCATCGGGTGATACACCGACATCCGTTTCAGTTTGGGATGTTCCCCGTTATACCAACAGCCCTTAATTGGGATTCTAAAAGGGCGTACTATGATCCCTAATATCCCTATTAATGACTGTTAGTACAAGGGGGAACATCTCAAGTTTCAATGACGATCTGAGTCTAAACGTCACAACACCGGGAGGCAAGGGGCTACTAGGAGAGGACTACCGTTTCATCGGCTATCTGCAATTATACCAAGCGGACCACAGCCCCTGACCCGAGGCAGGGTTCACAGGGTTTAGGGTATAGGGTGTTTAGCATGGCCGAATTCAATCTCGGTGGGGTTTGCAGGTGAGGAAGAAGAGGCCTCCAGGAACCCCCAATAATTAAGGGTACCCCTACTTGCAAAACCCAAACGCTAAAGCCTCTTGCAGTAGGCTTGCAGGAGGCCCTCGCCGAACCCTAAACCCCTAACCGCCCGAAGCAAGGGGCTTCATGGCTTGGTAGCACTGCTCCACGGACTCCCACTCCCGGCCATCGAAAAGAAAAGGCCGCACCTCATTGCAGCTCTTATGGCAAAAAGCGGGCTTGCCGGGTGCTAGAGTTTAAGGTGTAGGCTTTAGGGCTACTGGTAGGGTTGGGTACAGGGGAGTAGGGTTATTGTTTGCCACCTACCCACCGACACTTGTGTGTGTGTGGGTGTCACCTGTCCCACTTGCTAAGGGTGTGGGATTTCGGTCTACAGGTTCTGCGAAGCTTCACGCCCTGGTTTGATGAGGGCACAAGTGCAAACTCTAAACCCTAAATCGCTCAACCCTAAACCCCAAACCCCAAGCCCCAAGCCCCAAACCCTAAACCCTAAAATAAACCCCTGTAAAACCCTAAGCCCGACGCGAACAACCCTACTCAGCCTGGCCAAGCAACTGGTGGGTTGCAGAAACTGAAACTGACGTACGAATCTGGACCCATATGGTGGTTTCCGAAATTAGGTTTTGGGGTTTAGGGTTTAGGGCCAGAAATTAGGGTTTAGGGGGTTTCCGAGATTCGGGGTACCTTTCTTTGGGTTCCTTATTATCAGGGAATCCGGTCTATTTTCGGGATCCCCCAACAATCGGAACTCCCACGTGTTTGGGAGAAACCGAAGGTTTAGCGCAAGCCTCAACACCCTAAACCCGAAGAAAACCCTACAAACATCCTATTACCCCCTTAACACAGAAAAAACTATAAACACTCAATGAAAACACAGAAAAACTATAAACACTCCATGAACCCTGAATAAACCCTGAATACAACCCTAGTAAAAACCCTATAGAGACCCTAAATACCCCAAATAGACCCTAAGCAAACCCTAAACCCTAAACCCTAAACCCCAAACCCTAAACCCTAAACCCTAAACCCTAAACCCTAAACCCCAAACCCCAAACCCCAAACCCCAAACAAACCCCCCTTCTGTTTCTGAGGGGGGCCGGGCCTGAAAGTTGTCTGTGCAGGGCGGGGCCGGTACCTTGGCCTTGCCAGTGGCTTTTGCTCGGGTGGGAGGGCTTACAGGGTTTAGGGCTAGGGTTTAGGGTTTAGGGTTTTGGGGTGCTAGGGCTTTGGGGTTCAAGGATTTAGGGTTTAGGGCTTGTAAGCTCAGAAGGGCTTTGAAGGGCTTTAGATTAAAGATTCCGGGCTTGAGGAATTTAGAGCTTAGGGTGTAGGGCTTTTGCAGCACCATCTCCGAAGAGCGAGCAGGGTTTCAGGTTTAGGGTTTAGGTTTTTTTTGTGGGTGGGGGTTCTAGGTCTTGGGATGTCAGGGGTTTTCAGGGCTTATGGGTTTATACGGGCACGTACTAGGAGTTCCAGCTTTAGGGCTCTTATGCTGACTTCACTCTCCCAAACCTCAGCCATAGGGTTTTTTGGGGGTGTCAGGGTCTTGGAGACTAATTCGGGCTTTCCAAAAAAAAGGTTGAAACCCCTAAACCCTAAACCCTAAACCCTAAACCCTAAACCCTAAACCCTAAACCCTAAACCCTAAACCCTAAACCCTAATTTTTTCGGGCTTACGGGTTGGGATTGGTGCTTCCGAAACCCGAAAAACCTGAGAGTTTAGGATCTTGCCTTGCCAGGCTCGACGATGAAGCACGGGCCGCCCATGGCCAACCCACTTAAACGCTAAAACGCCGCCGTTTAGGGTTTGCGTTTGGGGCCAAAACCCTGAAAACCCTACATCAAGTCAAAACCCTAAACCCTAAACCCTAAACCCTAAATCCTAAACCCCAAACCCTGAAACCTAATCAACCATATACAACGCTTGCCGAGCGGAGAGATCATGCAATCAAGGCTTAGGGCTTAGGGTTCTGTCAAGAGTTCACAGAAGTGCTTCTGTAGGGATTGGTTTAGGGTTTAGGGTTTAGGGTTTAGGGTTTAGGGTTTAGGGTTTAGGGTTGTAGCAGAGGTAGCTTCTTGGGCAGATCTCTTAAAGCGAGCCAACACAGAACACGGCGGCAAAACCTTGCAACTAGCTGCAGGGGGTTCGGATGGCAACATGAGACTCTTCAGTATGCAACTGGGAGTTGGTGACTGCCAGAAAGGAACCCTACACCCTAAACCCTCAACCCTACAAACCCTAAACACCTTTTTGTCTCCTTCGGGGAAAGGTGGCGGCTGCTCGGTGGCGCCGAGGGCGACAGCGGTCTTTTGACCGTCTCGTCTGGGCCCCGAGGTGAGGTGCGCGTGTGGTCTTCAGTGAAAGGTAATATAGGTTTAGGGTTAGGGTTTAGGGTTTAGGGTTTAGGGTTTAGCGTTTAGGGTTCAGTTTAGGGTTTAGGGAATTAATTAGGGGCCTTAACAATCAGAATGGGGTTTTGGGGGTGATTGCAGTACATTTGCGTACGGGCGATATGGGAATACGAGTAGTAAGTATTCCGACCCCTGTGGTACCTTTTTTCCCCACGAGCCACGTAGCCATTCCTCGATACCTACGACCAACAAGGTGGGATCCTTAAGAGGTTACCCTAGCATGGTGGGATCCTTCGGGAGTCAGGGTTTAGGGTTTAGGGTTTATAGGGTTTAGGGTTCAGGGTTCGGGTTTAGGGTTTAGGAGCCCAACACCTGATTCAAGGGTTCGGAGCTCCTCACAAGGGGGCCCAAACGAATTCGATGAGCGTAGTGCAACTCGATGGCAGGTAAGGCTCTCTTAAGTGTGAATCCTCGCAGGGTTTTTCCCTAAACCCTAAACCCTAAACCCTAAACCCCAAACCCTAAACCCAGGCCTTAGCTAACATTAGGGACAACTTCAAGGTGGCAGTGTCCCTGGGTGGGTACCTTAGCTACAAGGGTATGTGGGGGCGCCCAAAGGCTTAAGTAGAGGAGGTTATATTCGGGGTTGGCGGGAGCTACCCACTTGAAATGGGCCTAGAAAAGCAGCGCAGCCTCTTGGAGCCAAAACAGGGCTTCACAAAGCAGAGTACAGGAGCCCCTAACACCTGAACCCTGAAGCCCGAGACACAAAGAAACCAGAAAATCCCCATTGTTGCTTTCCAGGCCTCTTGTTACATGCTATGGTTTAGGGCTTGGGTTTAGGGTTTAGGGCTTAGGGTTTAGGGTTTAGGGTTTAGGGTTTAGGGTTAAGGGTTAAGGGTTTAGGGTTTAGGGTTAGGCTTTAGGGTACAGCCCCTCTAACCCCAAGCGTCCAAAGAACCTCGAACCCCAAAAGAGGCCGAGCTCCGTAAACCCATTGTTGCATGCCTCTGGTCCCAGCATGCTAGGGTTTAGGGTTTAGGGTTTAGGGTTTAGGGTTTAGGGTTTAGGGTTTAGGGTTTAGGGTTTAGGGTTTAGGGTTTAGGGTTTAGGGTTTAGGGTTTAGGGTTTAGGGTTTAGGGTTTAGGGTTTAGGGTTTAGGGTTTCCAAAGAACCCCGAACCCCTCAGAGCCCCCTTGCCTGCTCCCGGAGTTGTTGCTTGGCAGCCCAGCAAGCATATCATGATAATGGCACGGCTCTGGGGTTGGCTACTTTATCATGAGGGAACCTTGAACTAAACACTGGTTTAGGGTTTAGGGTTTAGGGTTTGGGGTTTAGGGTTTAGGGTTTAGGGTACAGGTGTACCACTGGGCTACCAAGCTTAAGACGCGCACGCGCTTTCTACAGCCTGCTGCATCGACAGGGGCTTCGGCGGGCTTCGCGCTCAGGGAGCAACCTTACACCCAAAAGTTCCAGCACGGTTAGGGTTTAGGGTTTAGGGTTTAGGGTCTAGGGTCTAGGGTCTAGGGTCTAGGGTCTAGGGTCTAGGGTCTAGGGTCTAGGGTCTAGGGTTTAGGGTTTAGGGTTTAGGGTTTAGGGTTTAGCATGAAACAACCCGCAAGACTAAAAGCCCACGGCTGAAGGCACTGGCTTGACCCAGCAGTTGTGCAAGCGCGATTCATGCGGCCGGTTACTGGCACATGGGTGAGTTTCCCAGCAGAGGCAGTGAGTGTCGGCGCTGAACTTTTTACATACACATAATTCAGCACTTGACAAGAATTCACGCCAAATTTCTTCATGCATGTCAAGTCTGGGTGTAATTCAGGCGTAGGGTTGGTAATATAAGTCACCTCTACCTTGCCACTTTAAATTCTGGCCTTTTTGGGGTTGCTACGAAAAAGGTGACCCCATATACATGCCGCTCAAGAAGGGACCATAATGTTGAGGAAGGACCATAGCAACCTGGTGTTGAGTAACCCTTTGACCCTAAACCCGGAACCCTAAACCCTAAACCCTAAGGTGTTCAGAGCCGCCAAGCATATAAAGTCGAGGACCTTCAGGTGCGCTACTCGCTCCACGGTCAAGCGCGGAAAAGGAAGAGAAGGCCGACACATGAGCTGCAGTCCTCAACCCTAAACCCTAAACGCTAAACCCTAAACCCTAAACCCTAAACCCTAAACCCCAAACTCTTTCAACTGTGAGCTCCCTGGCCTTGAGCTCTGCAACATCTGGCCCTAGACCTTACTTGGAGGTTCATGAGAACCCCTCATAACCTACTTAGAGGGGATAGGGTTTCGGGTTTAGGGTGTAGGGTTTAGGGTGTAGGGTTTAGGGTTTCCATCAAGCCGGGAATTGTAGCCCAAGGACTAAGACTGTCGGCTAGCTTGTCCAGGTACGGCTCCAACGCTCTCCAAGCAAACAGTGGGATTTTAGAGTGCGTATGCCGAACCCGCTTTTGTTGGTAGCTAGAAGTAGAGACTTGAGTCCAAAAACTCCAAAACAGACCCCTAAACCCTGAACCCTGAACCCTAAACCCTAAACCCTAATTAAACCCTGAACCCTAAACCCTAAACCCTGAACCCTAAACCCTAAACCCTAAACCCCAAACCCTAAACCCTGAACCCTAATCCCACCCTGAAGGTCGGAGTGTGGTGACTGCAGCCCACGGGGGTCCGACGTCCCCGGTCCACCGCCAGAGGCGGTGGATCTAGCTCCACCCCTTTAGGGTGGCCAACGGGGCTATGCACGACCAGCGAACGTAAGAATTGTTAGGCTCCCCTCGGGAGGGTTTACGTTGAGTGTATAGGTTTGGGACGATAGCCGGTTTAGCAGGTCAGAACTTGGGGGTGGGGGGGGGGCTTGTGGATCAGTGCTGAATTTCTGCACTTCCGGATCTCAGCACTTTCCAAGTGGGGCTTGTGTCGGGCTACAGCTTGGCGTGTTCCCCCTTGTACTAACAGTCCTTAACAGGGATTCACAGGCCACAGGTTTCAGCACGTGTCGAAATCACAGAAATGCAGACTTCGTCTCTTGCGCCAGAGGATTCCCCGATTCTTCAACGATGGGTGCCGGGACGTCCTTGGCCAGGGAGTTCGGGTTTAGGGTTTGGGGTTTGGGGTTTAGGGCTTAGGGCTTAGGGCTTAGGGCTTAGGGTTTAGGGTTTAGGGTTTAGGGTTTAGGGTTTAGGGTTTAGGGTTTGGGGTCGAAGACACCCGACTTCAACCTCCTATCTTGAGCTGAACTGGGGCTCCACAATTCTTGGCAGCGTGTTGCGGGACAACGCAACAACTCGGGCAGAAGAGCATGCCAACTCCAAACCCCATTTACTCTATAGGGTTTAGGGTTTAGGGTTTAGGGTTTAGGGCGGTCCTCCAGTCTGCTTATAAGAGAAGGAATTCTTTCTGCAAACCCTCAACTCGAAACCACCAAAACCTCAATGTAATCCGTTGCTCGAGCGCCAGGGTTGCTCAAGGCCCGAGGTATTTTAAAGTTATAGCGGATACTTAGAAACAAAAAACGGGCCCAAGTATCCCCAAACCCCAAACCCCAAACCCCAAACCCCAAACCCTAGACCCCAAACCCTAAACCCCAAACCCCAAACACAAAACCCCAAACCCCAAACACTAAACCCTAAACCTTGAACCCCAAAACCTAAAACCTAAACCCTTAACCCTAAACCTTAAACCCCAATTAAACCCTAAACCCTTAATTAACCCTAAACCTTAAACCTCAAACCCTAAGCCCTTATCCCTACACCTCAAAGCTTAAACCCAACCCTAAACCCGAAACCCTAAACCCTAAGCCCTAAGTTTTGCAACGCCGTAGGCTGGGCGAGAGACGCTCTCGACGCTTCGCGGCAAGGACCGCTTCTCGGACATTTGGTGGTGGGCATCAGAGCCCTGCCAGTTTAGGGTTTAGGGTTTAGGGTTAAGGGTTTGGGGTTTGGGGTTTGGGGTTTAGGGGTTTGGGGGTTTCGGGGTTTAGGGCTTTGGGGGTTTAGGGTTTTAGGGTTTAGGTGTTTAGGGGTTTAGGAGTTTAGGAGTTTAGGGGTTTAGGGGTTTGGGGTTTAGGTTAGGCAGGTTGGTCCAGGCTAGATGTCTGAGGCATAGGCACCTTCAGTGATGACATCGGGCACAGGGTTTAAGGATTCCCCTCAAAAGGGTTTAGGGTTTGGGGTTTAGGGGTGTTTCTGGTTTAGGGGTATTTTGGGCTCTGGGTGTTACCAGTTAGGGTTAAGGGGTATTTTGGGCTCTGGGTGTTACCGGTTAGGGTTTAGGGTTTAAGGTTTAGGGTTTAGGGTTTAGGGTTTAGGGTTTAAGGTTTAGGGCCAGATTAGAAATAGTCTTACCCTCGCCATTTACGTAGTTACTACGGCTGCGGCGCGCCACTCTATACATGCTGCGGCAGTTGTTAGGATCAAAGTCTTTGAAGCCTCAAAAGCTACACTACAGCCAAGTAAAAAGGTTTTAGGCTTGTTGTATCACCCCCTTCCAAGCCCCGAAAGCCAGAAGTGGCCTGCGCTCCAATTTAGCACAAGTTCCAAGAACAAAGAAGAACTAAGAACAGCTTCATCAAGAAACCCAAACCCTAAACCCCAAACCCCTGACCGTAAGCCCTTGTAAGGGAATCCTTCTTGAGTAGCCCTAAACCCTAAACCTTAAACCCTAAACTCCAGCTTCTGGAAACCCCCTCGTCCACGGCAGGGACACCTCGACTGACTCCATCTCGGTGGCAAGCTTTTGGATGGCCTGCGTGGGGTATAGGGTTTAGGGTTTAGGGTTTAGGATTTAGGGTCTCGGGTCCAGGGTTTCGGGTGTAGGGTAAACCCCAAACCCTAAACTCTAAATCAAAACGCTGCAGGACTCCTAGAAAATGGGATAGCTTTCTTGTTTTATGTGGATCGAGCCGATTCTCGGGAGATCAAGATACGCTTTCTATCTATATATGTATGTATATATGTATGTATGTGTCTGTGTTTGTAACATGTTTACTAGTACCTTATATATATATATGTATATATGTATATATGTATATATATATATATATGTATATGTATGTATTGTACTGGCTTCATTGCTTATATATGCATGGCTACTTAGCTGCCTGGGTACATGGCCGCGAAGTTGCAGGGCTTAAGGGAATGGGCCAGGCTTTGTGCAAATCTCCGCGCGTGCCCACCACCCAAGTAAGGGCACGCAACGCGTCACACCACGGTACACCGGAGAGGCCCCGAATCCTCAATCCTAAACCCTGAACGGAATCCTGAACCCTTTTAGCCCTGCAAACAAAACCCTAAACCCTAAACCCTAAACCCTAAACCCTAAACCCTAACCCCTAAACCCCAACACTCTGCCTGCAGATCTGGGAAGGAGTTCGTAGACATCAGCTGCGAGCGCCGCGACAACACGAGACGTTTCTCGCCCACCTGGATAGCAGTTCGGGGGCAAAGAGAACCGGTTTGACCTCGGTCCCCCTGAAGGGGTTTATAGGGCCAGGGTTTAGTGGTTAGGGTTTAGGGTTTAGTTACCCTAGATTTGGGAGGTGATAACTTTGTAGGTTTCAGACGGAAGGTGATCAACAACACCTGTTGCCCTCAGACCGCTTGACTAAACCCTATAAACCCTAAACCCTAAACCCTAAACCCTACACCCTACACCCTACACCCTAAACCCAAAACCCTACAAACCCTAACCCCCCCCCCCCCCTCGCTTTTTTCAAGCTCTCCATGCCGGCCTCGGATCCGATAGCAGTGACGATCTGCGCCGCCATGCGCAAGTCGTAGATGGACAAGTTCCTTGGCACATGTAGGGTTTAGGGTCTATAGGGTTTAGGGTTTTGGGTGTAGGGCTTCGGGTTTAGGGTTTAGGGCAAGTTTAGGGTTTAGGGTTTAGGATTTTAGGGTGTAGGGAGACTGACGAGAGCCGATCGAGGCGATGACAAAGTGGGCCTAGGCAAGCCCTGCACAACTCATGGGGCGGCGGGTGGGGAGGTGGGGGGGCTGAGGAAGCTACGATTGAGATTGAGAGATGTGGCTTCAGTAGGGTAGGCTCAGAATTACGGCCATATCAACTTGACCCTGCCGAAGCGTTTATTCTTGGAAAGATGCATGCAATTGGGGCATCGCACTGATCAGCATTCAACTTTCTGGAGTCCCTGTTGAACCCTAAAGCCTACATACTCTACACTCTAACCCTAAACTCTAGACGGACCTGAAACAGGAGCCGAGCAACTGGACCCTGCGGTTCCAGGTCTAAAGGGCCCTATAAGAAGCCCCAAACCTTTTCTTAGTTGCTGAGTTCATAAGCCCCTAAAAAGTGTACACTTTCAGTTTTATAGTGGATTGTAGTAACCCAAAAAGTGTAAAGTGTACTCACGCAGCTACTAAGTTTAAGGGGCCTCTGAATGAACGCCATGGGGGCCCGGGTTTAGGGTGGGTCTATGGCTTGTGGGGGGCCTTCTTGGGAGGCCGTATAAAACTTAAATTCTTATGGCTTTTATGAGGGTTATAGGGGGGATTGCAGGTAATAACGAAGTAAAAGCGACAATCGAACCTACACCTTTTGTTAAGGGACCCTTACGAGGGCCTCAGGGCCCTTCTTGGGAATTCGGGTTTGGGGTTTGGAGTTTAGGGTTTAGGGTCTCTCAAACATCGGTGCTTTGGGGGGAACTGTTTAGGATTTACGGTCTTCGAAGGCCCCAATACTCCAATAGAGGCCGGCGAATCCCTGCCATCGCCCGTGCCTTCCTCCGAACCCTAAGCCCTAAGCCCTAAACCCTAAAGCCTAAACCCTCTAAACCCTATAAAACCCTATGAACCCGACAGACCCTGTAAACCCTAGAAACCCTGTAAACCCCATAAACCCTATAAGCCTTAAACCCCAAGCCCCTCAACAAAAACCGCGGTGCCCTCAAAACTCCATAACCCTGAACCCTAAACCCCATAAACCCTAAACCCCATAACCCTAAACCGTAAACCCTAAGCCTTAAACCCCTCGACCCCAACCGAGGTGCTTCAGAACCTTGGCCAGGTTGTGTTCACCCAGCTCCTGTGGTTGGGTGGGCCTTGAAAGGAGGCCCTTGGGATGTCAAGGAAATTCGGGTTTAGGGTTTGAGGTTTAGGGTTTAGGGTTTGGGGTTTAGGGTTTAGGGTTTGGGGTTTGGGGTTTAGGGTTTAGGGATTCTTTCCCCCTGCTGCACAGCTGGGGCGAATCCGCATCGCGGGGCGATTTCGGGAGCTAGGGTTTATAGGGTTTAGGGTTTAGCGATGTAGGTCTTGCTTATTCTTCGGATTCATGGATGGTTGCTCGGGGTACCTGTGCAAACCTCACAAATGCTCGTGCCCCAAAGGGTTGGCCCTGTATAGGTCGCGCGGGGATATGCTGGAAGAGCGGCTCAGCACTGGCCCCTCTCGGTGATGCAGCGATGCCCGCTACGTATCTCAGATACTGGCTTCGGGTGGGGCCCCCCCGACTTGGCATGCAGACCTCGTCAAATCCATATGACTCATGCCTGCATCTTCCGAAGGTTTTGTCTGAATCTGGAGGTCTTTTGGGTACCCTAAACCCTAAACCCTGAACCCTAAACCCTAAACCCTAAACCCTAAACCCGAAACCCTAAACCCTAAACCCTAAACCTGAACGTCCCAGGTAGGGACCTCAAAGGGCCTAGATTGGATCAACCGAACCCTAAGCCCGAAGCCTTGGACCAACTTGGTGTCCGTACAGGGGTCACGGGTTTAGGGTTTAGGGACTAGGGTTTAGGGTTTAGGGTTTAGGGATACGGGCCCCTGAAGCCCCATGTCCAGAGTTGTTTTAGTTGAAGCCATCTTAAGCTCCCAACCTGCTTAGCGCAGATGGCAGTAGCCAGTCCATGCCAGTCCTCAATGCGCCGGCAGAGGAGGTGCAGCTTCTCGCTGAGGGTTGCAGGCTTCGGGATTTTTCCTGGCGCAAATGCGGGCGTGAGTCTACGAAGTCTGAGCTTGATCCGAAACATCCAGGACCCTAGACCCTAAACCCTTTTGCCAAAACCCCAAACCCTAAACCCCAAACCCTAAACCCTAAACCCTAAACCCTAGCCCTAAACCCCAAACCCAACTTTGAGCTTGTGCCTTTCGGCTGACCGGCTCTGGCGTTGGCTGGCACACTCCCTAAGGGTCCATGTACCTTTCTAGTATACAAGTGGGCCCTAAAGCTACTATCATGGGAACCCCCTTTAGGCCCAAGTATATACCATACAGATACATGGGCCCTGAGGGTAAACCCTGAGCCCTAAACCCTAAACCCTAAACCCTAAACCCTAAAACCTAAACCCTACATAGATGCATGGGCCCTTAGGGACGGTGAGTTGCATTTGGGTCCGTCTTGGGGTGGCCACTGCGACAGCCAAACTCCTCAAACCTTAAACCTCAAGCCCAAAATCCTACACCCCAAAACCCTAAGCTCAATCCCCACAACCCTCCACCCCAGACCCTAAACCCTAAACCCTAAACCCTAACCCCTAACCCTAAACCCTAAACCCTAAACCCTAAACCCTAAACCCTATCATCCCCACAGTCCTAAGGCCAAGAGCACGCTCTCTTCGGAGCCACCCATGGCCTGGATACCTGAAGAGGGCTTGGGGACGTGGGGGGTTTAGGGTTTAGGGTTTGGGGTTTAGGGTCTGGGGTTTGGGGTTTAGGGTCTGGGGTTTGGGGTTTAGGGATTGGGGTGAAGGGTTTGGGGTTCCTTGCAGGAAGTGCTCCGCTAAGGACATCCTAAGGACATCCTGGCGACGCATGGGTTCACCTACTACCCCCACCTCTCTACCAACCCCCCCGCCCCCCCGCTTTCCTAGGTTCCCCCGAATCACGAAAGCGATTTTGGGCCTGAGTAAGCCTAGTTTAAGGGTGATTTCAGGGGGGGGGGGGGGTTGAGAGGGGGTAGTAGAAACACCCGTTACGAGTTCTATGAAGAGTCAGACCAGGTCTGTGCGCTAATGATTCTGGGAACCCAGATTCTCTTGGTAGCCCAGCAGCCAAGATTTTAACAAAGGCCACCCTTTTTGGGGCTGGTTACTTTACAAGGCAAATCGCATAGACAAAAAAAGGGCAAAGGGTACCACTGGCTAACAAGTACCAAGTCCTAAAGGAAGGAGCTCTTCTTCGCAGTTGGGCTGCTGGACCATTCATGGTCAACCCCCTTCAGTCGACTTGCAAGCAACCCCTGGATCCTGAAGCCACAATAAGAAAGGATTTAGGGTTTAGGGTTTAGGGTTGAGGGTTTAGAGTTTAGAGTTTAGAGTTTAGGCTTCATATGCCACATTGACAATAGCTCATGGGAGCCGGGCAGCGAACGAGGCTGGCGACAGTGACACAGAGCATGAGGAAGACGATCAAGTTCCTCTTAAGGTAGCTACATGGGTAGTTCTCTAAATTCCTGGTCGTCCCTTTTGGGGGGTCCCTGTTTTAAAGGGTGCGGCCTTATACTAGTTTAGGAGACTACCGACATGGTTTCTTAACAGGGGCCCCTTATATACCCGGCCCATTGGATCCTAAAAACCCAAAGGGCTCAGGTTAGGGACCTACGTTAAGGGACCATGTGTAGTTTTACATGGGTAGTTCTCTAAATTCCTGGTCCCTTTTTGGGGGTCCCTGTTTAAAGGGTGCCGCCGTACAAAAGGGGACCCTAGTTTAGGAGGCTAACTACATGGTTTCTTAACAGGGGCCCCCTTATATACCCATTGTATACCTTAAAAAACCCAAGGGCCCAGGCTAGAGACCCATGTTAAGGGACCATGTAACGGTTTAGGGTTTAGGGTTTAGGGTCTAGGGTTTAGGGTTTAGGGTTTAGGGTTTAGGGTTTAGGGTTTACCCTAAGAGTTCCTCAAGCAACGACGCCCGATGGAACAGCGACCCAAGAAAACCCTAAACCCTAGACCCTAAACCGTTCTTTTGTGGGTCTTCATGGAGTTTCACAAGGCAGCCTACTTAAAACCTTGGGAAAGGCATTCCTGGGGGGGGGGGGGGGGGGGCATCCTAGCCAAAAGGTAAGTCTAGGCTGCCAAAGAAGAGCTTCAAGGGTTTAGGGTTTAGGGCTTAGGGCTTGGGGTTTAGGGCTTCGGGGAACCTTCTTGGCCGAGTTTTGTCTAGGAGAGAAGATGAAAGACATCAGCCTTTGCATTGTCAGAGGGCTCATCATGCCAAGAAAAGGTGAAGGCTTACCGAGCCGGCAGCTAAGGAAGTGTGTTGGGACTTCTCTGAGCGCAGGGTGGATATCTCCCCTTATGAAGATGCCTGCCGGTGTCTAGGGTTTAGGGTTTAGGGTTTAGGGCTAGGGTGTCAGGGTTTTTTTCTGTGCTTCCCATGTTCAGAGTTTCGTCCGATTCTTGAGCCTCAACGGGCCTAAGGGTGATAGGGTTGAGGCTTGCAGGCTTAAAAGGACCAGCTCAGGAAAGACTATGAATTTGAACCTTCAGCATAACACGTACAACCCTGGGCATACCGCTAATACCCCTGGAAGAATCACACGGGCACAGATTACCCTAAACCCTAAATCCTAAACCCTACTTAAGTTCAGGCCAAGCATCAGAAACAGGACAATGCCCAGCACTGCACTGGTCAGCCTACTGAGCTTTGGCTGTTGGTCTCTTTTTAGCCGCTGGACGTATAGGGATCCACAGGACCCTTAACCCTACCAAGGGTTTAGGACTTGGGGCTTAGGGTGTGGGCCTGAGGGTTCAGGGTTCGACGTTAGCATGGGACCCTGAACGCCCTACCCCCTAAACCCGAAACCCCCAGCCCTAAACCCTAAACCCCAAACCCGAAACCCCAAACTCTAAACCCCAAACCCCAAACCCAAACCCTAAACCCTAAACCCTAAACCCTAAACCCTAAACCCTAAACCCTAAACCCTAAACCCCGCAGGCCCTTAGTGGTTCTCCCCCTCCCCGCCTCTGCTGGATGCCCGAACTGAGGTCCGGTGCGAAGGCTCCCAGGATGGCCATCATCATGATGAGGGCTGTGCCTGGTTGAGGGGGGGTTTAGGGCTTATAGGGTTTAGGGTTTAGGGTTTAGGGTTTAGGGTTTAGGGTTTAGGGTTTAGGGTTTAGGGTTTAGGGTTTAGGGTTAGGATTTAATCTTTGTTGGCCCTAATGAGTAGGCTGCTTTTTACAACTTCGGGGTAATAAGGTTTAGGAGTTTGTAGGGTTTACGGCACATTGTCTTAACGATAGATTTAGGCAGCTGCTCCCTCTGGAGCTCAGAGAGCAGGGTTAGTGCACACTTCTGAAACCAGACGGTGCCCCTGTCTGTTTGGCTTCCCGGCTCCTTATGGGATGTGTTGCCAGAAGCGGCCAAAGTCCTTGAACCCTAAACCCTAAACCCGAAACCCTAAACCCTAAACCCCAAACCCTAAACCCTAATCCCGTGGACTATTTGGCGTTAAGGTCGTTGTTGAGGGTTCACCGGAGGCCTACCCGTGAGGGGGCAGTCACATCACTTTGCCCGAGTTGAGCTCGCTCGAAGAGAACCAGTACCCGCGAAAAAACGAAGAATCTCACCCTGAGCCCTGTAACCACAACACTAGCAACCCTATGAAACCCTTTGAAGCCCTATGAATCCCTTTGAAGCCCTACATTGTTTCCAGGGCGCTGATGGTTGCATCAAACGCGTTGAGAGCGGGAAGCTTCCAAGGCCACGTCATCAGCTGTACCTGGGTTTGTTCTGAAACTTGTTGGAAGGTTTAGGGTTTAGGGTTTAAAGTTTAGGGTTTAGGGTTTAGGGTCTAGGGTTGAGGGTTCAGGGTTTAGGGTTTAGGTATCTACTTTCACGATGTTTTCGCAGGAGCCCAGAAACGAAACAAAAGGCAAAGCAGCACACAGCCGAACAGCCGAGGTACGATCATGTAGCCCAGCATCACAGACACGATCAGCAACATCTGGGCAGCAAGGCTGTTGAAGGCCCTGAACCCTAAACCCTAAACCCTAAACCCTAAACCCTAAACCCTAAACCCTAAACCCTAAACCCTAAACCTGCCAAACCCCAAAACGACCCCTAGTAAGTCCCAGCTGAACTTCGAAATGGCGAGGCGAGGAAATCCCTAACCCACATCCCCAAAAGCCCCAAACCCTAAACCCCCAAAACCCTATATCCCCCAAAGCCCCTTTTTGTTTTTTGCTTCAGCACTCCTTGGGGTCTCTGGCCTGTCCCAAAGCCCTAAACCCTAAAACCTACCCCAGCAAGCCCTACTTACAACCTACAACCCTAAACCCTAAACCCGAAACCCTAAACCCTAAACCCTAAACCCTAACCCTAAACCCTAAACCCTAAACCCTAAACCCTAAACCCCTAAGCCCTACAACCCCCAAGCCCCACAGCGCACTGCGACCTGCACGTAAGGGCTGTCACCGGCAGCAACGATGGAGAGAGAGAGCATGAGACCGCGGGGCAGCCTGCCCCGAAATTTTGATTATGGGCTTGGGGTTTAGGGTTTGGGGTTTGGGGTTTAGGGTTTAGGGTTTAGGGTTTAGGGTTTAGGGTTTAGGGTTTAGGGTTTAGGGTTTGGGGTTTGGGGTTCGGGGGTTTTTGGGTTTTGGGCGTTTCCGACATTCGGGGCGACCTTATTGGGGGGTCTCTACTATCAAGGGGAAGCAGCCGATGAATTCGGGTCTATCATACAAAACCCTCAATGGTCGATAAACTCCCAGGAATCGTTCTGACTACGGGCTTTGAGGCTCGCGGGTCGCGGTTTAAACTGGAAGCTCGGAGGAAGGTTCGGAAAGGTCGCTGGGTTTTGGAGTGCTTGGAGGTTCATGGGTACTTCTAAGCATAACATGCTTAGCGGACTTAGGGGGGCCTGAAAGTACAGCTCTAGCAGGGAGCATAAGTACCCTGAACCTCCAAGTCAGTGTCCAGTTGGAAGTCAGAGCTGGGTAGATGGGGACGTCCAGAGGGCACAGGGACTGGAGTGCCTAGGGTTTAGGGTGGTTGCAAGGCCGAGCAGCATGAAGGTGCCAAACCACCAGTAGTCACTGCGGAACCGGAAGAGCAAGAACTTCGTGGCCGCAAGAAACCTAGGAGGGAGCGCAATCAGGGTTTGGCGCTGGGCTTCAGGGACTTTTTTGCGCTCGCCACTCGGAAAAACCCTGCGGCTTTAGCCTACATAGGGTCATCTTTCTCACTGCCTCATTCAAATCAACCCAGATCCTTGGTGGGACACATGCCGGCGATCTTGACAGCACGCCCAGGCGGAGGCACATGATCTAAGAACCGGGTTTAGGGTTTAGGGTTTAGGGCTTAGGGTTCAGGGTTGGAATAGCGTGCCACCAGCCCATCGCCCTAGCAAAGCAAAGCAACATGCGCGGGAAGCCCCGCCTCTCGGGGTTTTGGGCGAGGCCTACACCCCGGAAATCAAAACTAAGGGGTCTTACCTTGGACCCCTCAGGTGCACACTTGGGTTTGGAGACTCCCTAACCACCTTAAAGCCTAAACCCTAAAGCCTAAAGACAAAAGCCTAAACTCAAGCCCTTTGTTAAAGAATGCTCAGGCAATAAAAAGGGCATGAGTCTCAGTTTTTTGACAAAACCCTGACCTAAACCTGGAACTGGGACTGAAGAGCTGCAGCAATTCAGCAGGCAGCAAGGGAGCATTGACGAGAGGGGTTAAGGGTTTAGGGTTTAGAGTTTCGGGTAGAGGCCCTTCTAACAAGCCCAGGTTTAACTGCAAAGGGAGGAGGGGGGAGGGAGTGGCTAGGTCCTCTACATACTAAGGCCCAAAAGCATTGCAACTCCGAAACTCTTCACCCTAGTAGCTCTAAACCCTAAGCCCTAAACCCTAAGCCCTAGACTCCAAGCCCCAAAACGAAACCCTGAAAAGAGGTCGAGGAGCCAAGTGTTGCCCGACGCAGCCTTCGATGGGGCCACAATGGTTGCCCAAATCGCCAAGGCGTAGAAGCCTCCGCTTTAGGCTACTGGGTGTGGTGCTTGGGGTTTGTAAGGTTCAGGGTTTAAGGTAAGTTTAGTCTACATGGATGTCGGCGACTGCGTCAGGCACAACTTCGCAGGATACTTTCGCCAGATTCTTCTCTGATCGGCAAGAAATCTCATGTGCAGCTACGACAAGCTAAGCCTTAGTTTGCATTCAACCTCGCATCCCTCGGAACAGTATGGGACTCAGGATTAACCCCTAAACACTAGACCCTAAGCCCTATCTCAAAAGGGAAGCTGAGCAGTTAACAGGCGTTCAAACCCGAAATCGCAACTCCTAATAGTGTGTGAAGTTTTACCCTAAACCTGCACACCTAAAACAAGGATGTAAGAGCATTCAGGGGTGAGGTATAGGGGTTTAGCGGTATAGGGGTTTAGGGTTTAGGGGGTGAGGGGTTTAGCAGTTTAGGGTTTGAAGTCCTAAACCCTTTAACCCCGAGAAACGCATGAAGTAAGCCGCCCCCAACCACAGGTGCTATTGCACTCCGCGGGCTTCTTGAATCTCCGCAAGGATCCCAAACAACAACTCCCCCGAAAAAATCCTCAACAGCAATCTCTCAACCCCCCCACCCAACCCCCCCCCCTCAAAAAAAAAACACATATATATATATACACACACACACATATATATATATACAGATTTGTATGTAATATCTATTTACATAAAGAAAACCAGAAATCAAGTGAAGGATGCCAAGGCAAGCCACCCACCATGCCACAGAGGAGGGCCAGCCCCGCTAAGAACCTCGGGTTTGGGTCGTTCAGGGTTTAGGGTTTAGGGTTTAGGGTTTAGGGTTTAGGGTTTAGGATTTTTTGCCACCCGTCTGGCAATGCTCCACGGGGCAACTGAAGAGGGGATGCTGTGTACAAACTCCAGAGCCCAAATTGACGAAGTTACTAGGTTCCACATCAACCCGAGGCCTCCTACACAAGAAGATGCATCTACATAGCCCGCCAGGGTTTAGGGTTTAGGGTTTAGCCAAACCTCAAACCCTGAACAACCCAAGGGTTTAGGAGGACAGGGTTTCGCGCATATGCCAAGCAGGCACACAGGCAAAGCCCATTACCCCCCCCCCCCCCCCAAAGCCTGAACCAAAGTCTCTAGACCCCCGAACCCTACACTCTAAACCCTTTTCAACCTCCTAAACCCTAAACCCTAAACCCTAAACCCCCAAACCCTGAACCCTTAACCCTAAGCTAAGCCCGAAGCACCAAGCCCGAAGTCCGCAGCCCTGTTCCCCGAGATCTAAGTAAGCCCTAAGACAAGCCCCAAGCCCGACGCCTCAAAACCCTAAACCCTAAACCCTAAACCCTAAACCCTAAACCCCAACCCCGCTTTGCAAATCCTAGAGCCTCATGCCCCCAAGACTGGAACCTCCTGGCCGCTGTTGCAACATGCGCTTCCCAGTGCTCGTCTGGGAGGGTTTACGGTTTAGGGTTTAGGGTTTAGGGACTCCCACACAAAGGGCTTTTTAGAGGTTCAGGGGTTCTCAGGGCATCCTCACTGCGATGTTAGGGGGATGCTTTGCGGCGAGGGTGCATGGGTGTGTGCTCGGCACTCTCGAAGCAGAAGATGCCATTGTGCTCCAGCCTTGGGGCCCACGTGAACCGCCAAAAAAAAGGGTTTAGGGTTTAGGGTTTAGGGTTTAGGGTTTAGGGTTTAGGGTTTAGGGTTTAGGGTTTAGGGTTTCACCATACCCTGTGCTACTATAGTCCCTGCTAAGGTAGAGGGGCCTATACCTTAAACACTAAACTACTACTTGCTTAAGAACCCCAGAGGAATAAAAAACAAAAATCCCCACATTGCCCTCAATAAGGAATAGTCTTTCTACTTTTTCGGGGTGCCTAAGCAATTAGTAGTAAACCTTTTGTTTAGGGTTTAGGGTTTCGGGTTTAGGGTTTAGGGTTTCGGGTTTCGGGTTTTCGGGTGGGCTCACTTGGTCCCCAAGGAGCATGCCGCTCTTGCCGTTTGGGTGCGTGTAGCACATCATCGGGGACAGGGCGACCTCACAGGCGGACAACTGCCAGGAAAGGATACTACCCCTTACCTAAACCCTAAACCCTAAACCCTAAACCCTAAACCCTAAACCCTAAACCCTAAACCCTAAACCCTAAACCCGAAACCCGAAACCCTAAACCCTAAACCCGAAACCCGAACCCTAACCCTAAACCCTAAACCTAAACCTAAACCCTAAACCCTGCTTTGCTGTAGATTGTGAAGCTGAACCACAAACTGGGCCCAGGGTGCTGACCACCTTGGCGCTCTCGAACTGCCACTGCGCCGGCAGGATCCTAGGGGCAGCCCCAAGGGGCCGTGTGTAAGGTAGGGTTTAGGTTTAGGGTTTAGGGTTTAGGGTTTAGGGTTTATTAGGTTTGGGTTGAGGTTAGGGTTTAGGGTTTTGGGGTTGAGGGTTGAGGGTTGAGGGTTTATAGGGTTTATAAGGGTTTAGGGCTGAGGGTTTTCGGGTTTAGGGTCGGTCTTTTGAAACAAACAAAGTCACAAAAGAGCACCACTGCGGGCTCCCAAGGAGCCGGCTGAGGCAGCTGCACACAATCAGCCAGGCTAAAGCGCATGGCAGCATGGCCGCCGTCATGTGGTAGCTGGCCACCGGTGAGCTCGACAACTTGAAGTAGCCCAGTAACTGCAATTATCATAGGGTTCAAGGTTTAGGGTTTAGGGTCTAGGTTTTTTTTTTTTTTTTTAAGGGGGGGTTGCTTCATAAGGGAACCTTGAACCCAAAAAAGAAAACAAAAGGGGTACCGCTGGGCTCCCAAGACGCGCAGTCGAAGCCCACCGCTTGCAAGTCCAAGGTGAAGAAGCTCATCAAGTCAAACATCCACTGCAGCTCCTTACTTCTCCAAGAACCAAGGGTTTAGGGTTTAGGGTTTACAGTTACAGTTTAGGGTCAAACTTCATTATCCCTACTAAATGAGGAAACCCAAAAAGTTCGAAGCTCAACTATTGGCAGAGTAAGGCACTGGAGGCCAAGAGAAGGAGATGTAGCCGACGATCCCCACGTTCTGAAGCATGCTGATGGTCATGGCCAGGGCACAGGAAGTAGCCTTAGTTGCCCCGCCCCCAAAGTGTACACTTTCAGTTCTATGGGGGATTATAGTATAGTACCCCAAGAAGTGTAAAGTGTACTCACTCAGCTGCGAAGTAGCCAACATGGTGGTGGCTTTGGCCGTCTGCTTCAAGTTCATCATGTAATAGAGTACGGGTATGGTTAACATGCCCGCCACGCCGGCAGTGAGCCATCCGGCCAAGTTGAGCGACGTGCAAGACTCACATGCCCCGGTGCCCCAGGCCGTGCCCTCTGGACACCTCAGTTGTCAATATGTTGTACCTAGTGGGCCGTGCCCTCTGGACACCTCAGTTGTCAATATGTTGTACCTAGTGGAACATAACAGGGTTTCGGGTTTAGGGTTTAGGGTTTAGGGTTCAGAGTTTAGGGTGTAGGGTGGTTTAGGGTTGGAGCCTAAGGTCCTTGAAATGGGGGAGAAACGGAAGTCGCCCCCCCATATGCCCACTGAGGCGCTGGGTGCATGGTACACCTTCCCTCCCACCGGCGCATGCCCCTGGCAAACCGCCAGGACAGAACTCCTGCGGAAGACATTTGTAGACGTCAAAGGGGGCACCTTGGTAGTTGAAATGCTCTTGAACAAACCCTCATGAAGGCTGTAGCCCGGTTTTCAGTAGTCTAGGGGAAGACAGGTCCTTTTTCGTCTGCTCGGGCTTCTGATCGAATCAGCAACCCAGCCCTGAAAAGAGGGAATGAGGGCAGCGCTGGCCATCCTAGATTTAGGGTTTAGGGTTTAAGGTTTAGGGTTTAGGGTTTAGGGTTTGGGGGCCCTTTTGAATTCAACACTTGCGTGCTACACGTTTGTGTAGACCTGTCGCCTGGGCATCCGCCAAACCTCTTTCCTGTAGAGGTGCTACTTAGCTGACATTTTGGGCTGCGGTGCGCTCCCGCCTCAACAGAGATCCATCGTACAGGTGACGGGTGATGCTCAAGATTTCCGCTTTGGGTGCATGAGCACAAACAGCGGATGTTCAAGATTCCTGACTTCCACATGCAACTGGAAGACGACAGGTCCCTTCCGTGTCTTGATGCCTGCCAAGGCACTGGGATCTGTGTAGTACCCAGGCTGCACCGTTGCCGCGCTGCTTCCATCGCAATCCAAGCCTTCGGCACATTGAAGGCATTGACCTGCTTCGTAGCGGTCGACGAAGGAGCAGACAACGCCTAGGCCACCAGCACACATGGCATGTGGGATGTTCCCCCGTATGCTGACAGTCCTTAACATAATAGGGATGAATTTAAGGACTGCTAGTGTAAGGGGGAACATCCCAACATGGCATGAACATGTCATTCTAAACAGGAATTCGACAGTCCTAGGAGCCAAGGTGCACTGTCCTTGGTACAACTCACCCTGGCACTGGCATGCCTCTTCGTCCACAGCGCCAGAAAATCCTGTCGTCCTTCCCGGTGGGCAATCTGCACATCTTGCCAGACCCTTCTGTGGCCCGTACTGGCCGATGGGGCACTTCGTGCAAGATGTGGACTCCTTGGTGCTCATGGTGGCTGGATGCAAGTGTATAATTTTGTGAACCTGCTATACTTCTGCTACTGCTACTACTTGCTACTACTACATCTACATCCATGACGTCGGCTACTACGTGCGCAAACTACGAGTCCGCAACCAACTCGATACACGCAAATAGACCCCCCCAAGATTCGGTCTCGTTTGCATAGAACCCTTGCCCACACTCATCGCAGCCTTCGGCTCCAAGCACGTTGTTGAAGGTCCCGGTGCTGCAAGGATGGCAGCTCGCGCGACCCGTCTGGTTCGTGAAGGTGCCCACATCGCATGGCTCACAGGCAGCCATGCCTGCTGCTGCATACCTTGGGGGGCGAATCTGAACTTCATGAATCTGAACCCCCCCCAAAAAAATTGGGGTCATGTACCCTATGCTGAGTAACTACTATAACCCCTATATTCAGGTATATGGACGCCATAAACCCTGCTAGGGCTCATTTCGTCCCCAAGGTACTTGCCCACGTCACAGTCCACGCAACCCATCCGCACCGAGAATACGCTCCCGGCGTGGCATTGGCTAATGCGGTCCGGTGGTACGAAAGCGTCACCAAACCTTGCGAACCCTAAAATTGGGGTCATATACCCTATACTACTACAATTACCATTAAGGTAATACGAACCATAAACCCTTTCAGGGCTCATTTCGCCCCAAGGAACAAGCACGTGCCACTGCTACATGGCACAACCTTGCCATTGTCGAAAGGGCTCCACTGCAAGTCTTGCAGCCACCAGACTCCATCACCGGTGCGGTAGGCGAGATCGCTGAACTCATTCCCTGTGCCGCCAGTGATCTGCCGAATGAGCTGCACGCCATCCTTGGGGGCGAAATGAACCCGAAAAGGCCTAATAGGAATGACAGTAGTATAGGGTATATGACCCCAATTTTAGGGTCGAAAAGGGTTTATATATGGTTCATTGACCCTAATGGGACTTATAGACTATAAGTTCTAGTATAAGGTATATTATACCCCCCAATTTTAGGGCTCATTCCCAAGGATCTCGGTCTCCGTGCGAAGAAGGGATGGTCGTCGGCTCGATGCTGTTGAACTGGCGCACCCGGCCCGTCAAGCCGATGTAGTCCTGCTGCAGAGACAGCTCGTACAAGGCTGAGCGTGAAGACGCCGTCCCCAAATCCGCCACAGAGTGGTTCCTAGGAGGACCATTAAAAAAGCCTCTGAAAAAATCGTCCTGAGTAGGATCCCCTTGCAGAATATAGAATGTCCTAGGGCCTACCTAGTAACCCTAAACCCTAAACACTAAACCCTATCCGAGGTGCTGCTGGATGAGATATGTGTGCAACAACGCCACGAGATGCCAGAGGCCATCATAGAAATACCCAGTCCATACTACGTCGCATGCGCCTTGTCCGTTGCCAAACCTTACAGGGTTTAGGGTTTAGGGGTTTAGGGGTTTAGGGTTTAGGGTTTAGGGTTTAGGGTTTAGGGTTTAGGGTTTAGGGGTAGTACTGGCTCTTAGAAGGAATGAAAGAAGTCGATACCCTTGTGTCCCCGTATATAACACCTTTGAGGGAGCACGGAGGGTATCTGATTTCTCTAAAATTCCCCTACTAAGAGCCAGCAAGAAACTGCCGTGCATTGTTGTAGTACCCAATTACCTAAAATCCCCCTAAACCCGAAACCCGAAACCCTAACCCCCCCTACAAAGAAGTTAGAAAAGAAATTGCTGGCATGCATCTAAACCCTAAACCCTAAACCCTAAACCCTAAACCCTAAACCCTAAACCCTAAACCCTAAACCCTAAACCCCAAACCCTAAACCCTAAACTAAGAAAAGAAGCTGCTGGCATGCACTGTTGTAGTAGTTGGAGACGTCGGCCAACCTTGATCCAGACAGCCCGTGAACATCGTTCGTACTCTGGATCGGCGACCGGCCACCTAGGAGCCCCCCCGCCCCCCAAAGGTTTAGGGTTTAGGGTTTAGGGTTGAGGGTTTAGGGTTTTAGGGTTTTAGGGTTTTAGGGCTTAGGGCTTAGGGCTAGGAATGAACCCTTGAAATGTCCCCCTTATACTAACAGTCCATAATCGGGATTCTAGTGCCCCCTATTACAATCCCGATTAACCCTGCTAAGACAAGGGTGAAACTCCCAACCTAAACCCTAAACCCTAAACCCTAAACCCTGAACCCTGAACCCTAAACGAAGCCCTACCCCCAAGGGAAGAAAAACCAAGCCCCCGCAACAAAAAAAGAGGACCGCTTCTGGGCAGCCCTAAACCCTAAACCCTAAACCCTAAACCCTAAACCCTAAACCCTAAACCCTAAACCCTAAACCCTAAACCCTGACTGCTAGTATAAGGGGTCACATCCCCAAAAGGGTACAGCTTCTGGGCATCCCGGGTCGCTGATCATCAGGCCGCCAGAGACCCTGGCCAGCTGTGAAGCCGTACAGGGGCACTCCTTACCAGGGCTAGTAGTACCTATTCAACTAACCCTAAACCCTAAACCCTAAACCTTGGGCTAGTAGTACCTATTCAACCCTAAACCCTAAACCCTAACCCCTAAACCCTAAACCCTAAACCTTAAACCCTGAACCCTAAACCAGCTATTGGTTACCTATTTTCCTGCGGACAGTTCTCTTAAATCCCCAAAGCCCTATCCCTAAACCCTATTTAGTACACCCCAACAACCAGCAGGGGCTAGAATCCCCCCGAATACCAACCCGATAGCTACCAATTAATTGCTCAAGAACAACCCACAAAAAACGATTATTATCTTTATTTCTTTGGGGTTCTTAAGCAAATGGCAGATAAGGGGCCTCTTTAAGGGGGCTAACCATGCAGGTACAGCTTCAAGGGAAATATCTTGGGCTTCAAAAGCACACCGGAATTTGTTTGTTTTTTCTCTGGGTGTAGGGTGAAGGATTCAAAAAAAGTTACGGAAATTCCGGGCTTCTAGGGTGTTTAGGGTGAGGAGTCAAAGGCCTTTGGGCCCAGGGTCGTCGTTGATCGAAGACAGGGTCTCCCCTTTCTAAGGGGCTTGTCTTTGGTTTCGGGTCTTAATTAAGGGTTTTGGGTTTAGGGTTTAGGTTCTCAAAGGGATACTGTAGTTTCTGATTTTGCAGGGATGGGGTACTCAGAGGATCATCTTTGTAACTCTTTAGGCTCCTGTAATCGATGAATGCCTACGCGATCACATATGTGGACAGCGGATAAGTCGTGTCCAGGGGTCACAGGAACAGCGCCCTACTTCTGCACCTTAGGCTTGGGGCTGTGTTCGGCTTTGCTGTTGCAGATGCTGCGATCACCACGCTGAGCTATCTATCTGAATCCATGTGTTGCATGAGCCTAAACAACCACTCTGGTGCCCTGTATAACCTGCTTTCTACTACCCGGCCCTCTGTGTTGATACTCGTTGGGAGCTAGGCGCAAAGGACGGAATGCAGTGTACAGTGGGATGTTCACGGGGTGGGTTGCGGGTGGAATGAGGATCCCTAGACCCCAAATCCTAAACTCTAAACCCTGCTTACAGGAGTACTGAGGCTCCGGCCTAGACCCTATACCCTAAACCCTACCTTGAGGTTCCCCCAGATGCTTCCCCGTACAGTGCGCTAGCCAGGTAGTTGAATCTACTTCTGCTACATTGGGTACATGGCCAGCTCTTGAAATTTTTTTTTTAGAGGGGGGGGGGGGGGGGGGGGGGGAGGGGGGGTGATGTTGCTCCCCCAGTAAGGCGCCCTTTGCATCCTCATGCATCAGTTTCAGAGAGCGGGATGGCATGCGCGAAACGCATTCCGTTGACTGTGATAAGCTCGTCGTCATATGCCAGGGCCCATACTGAACCACCAACCCGAATAGCCTCTTTCAAAGACCTGGCCCCCTCTACTTTACGAGGATGGCCCCAAAAACCCGCTGAAAAACTCTTAAACCCGAAAAGGGAACATTCAAAATGTCCCAAGGGCCTACTGAGTTTAGTACACGTACACACACAAAGGCCGCTTGGAGGAGGTTTGCAGTTTCGGACAGCCTAAACCCTAAACCCTAAACCCTAAACCCTAAACCCTAAACCCTAAACCCTAAACCCTAAACCGTGGCTGAATGGATGCAAGCCACGGGTGTGCCAGCGACCACAGCTGTCACTCCATTGACCCAGTTGCCGAAAGCGGCCACAAACCAAACGTAGTCCTCCGCACTACTATTTGCTTAAGAACCCCAAAAGAATCAAAACAATCCCTATATTACCCTTTAAGGAAGAATATATTTTGTTTATTTTATCGGGGTTCTTAAGCAATTTGCAGTGCATGCCATTGATGTGCAACAGCTTGCAAGTTCCAGTGCCGGCTCTCTGATAGTGGCTCTCTTTTTTTAGCTGCTATACAACCTAGCCCCCTAAACCCTTTTGTAGGCACGGACTGAGGAGGCTGCCGGCAACACCTGAAAGCAGGGCCTTCTACCCTCAACCCTAAACCCTAACCACCTAGCCACCTACGTGGGCCTCCCGCAATGGCAAAGCTTGAGTTCACGCCCATGTCATAAACCGGAAACAGCGGCCCCACCACGTCCCACCCCCACTTTGACCCTGTGTTGCCGCAGAATACTGTGTCAGCATAACCCTAAGGCTCCATGTACCTAAATAGGGAATACTTGGGCCCCAAAATCCCTATATAGGAAGTACTTTAAGGCCCAAGTACTTCTTATTTAGGTACAGAAAAGTCGCAAGAACAATCATATCTCGTATGCCCCTGCTCTCTGCAGTTGCGGAGTTCATACCTTGGCGGCCGAGTGTTTGTTTAGGAGGTCTTTGCCACTGTCCGCGCAGGGGCTTGTCGCAAGGCCAGACTAAAACTAGATCGCCTGTTGTGAAGTAACCTTGTCATAGCAGTCAAAATCGGGCGCCACATGTGTGTGTGTGTACTACATATCCATGTCTTGGTAAGTGAATGTTGAAGTTCCTTGGCCAGCGACCTTGAGCTCCTGCAGCCCTAGAAGTCATATTGCGCAGACATGTGCACTGACAACTTCGAGCTCGAATTTCCCAAAATGGGCTGTTCGGCCTCCCCCCGTATCAACCCTCTAGAAGGTTTAAGGGGTTGTAAGGCCATTAAAGGGCATGACTTGTTTCGATTCTTGCAACAGAATGACCACAGAGCATACGGCTTATAAGGTTGCTTCCCGACATTTTGGGTGGAACAGCTCGTGGGCGGGGTCCGGCGGGAGCATCTCGCGCAGGTAGAACTGGCACAGGACCCACATGCCGATGTACTCCGGGAGCACCATCAAGTTAATGCGCGAGTCGCGCATCTTGACCTCATCTGCCGCGCTGACCGCATCCTCGAAGGTGTTGACCGTGTGATCGAAAAGAACCGTCCAGTCGTAGCTCCCCGCGTCGAGGTCCCGCTGTAGGAGCTCGAGGAAGAAGGCCTTTGCGCCGGCTGTGTAGAAAGGCCCATCCATCACGCCAACGCGGTGGAAGGAGAATAGCTTCATAACCTCTTCTCAAGCGAGTGATACTCGGACCGCTATAGGGATGTACCCCCAAGAGGCTCCCTTAATGTATTCCTAATATGGCCCTCTTGCATTCCCTGAGGAGATCTTTAAAAAGGGTCCCCAAACCCAAGGGTACAACCTTAGGGGCACATGGTCCAATACCATGATCTTCTGTGTTCGAGGTGAATGCCGAGCTAACACGTTTGTCTTGTCGCAGTGACCCTAAACCCAGCAATCTTCGCTTGTCCCAGGGTCCCACATATGTAGTCCCTACTTGTAGGTTCTGGGTACTTCTCACCCCAGCTATAACTATACTTGTAAGCCTCGTTAAGTCCTGAGTAGGTTGTAAGTGAACGAAGAATTGGGGTGAAAAGTAACCATGGACCTCCAAGTAGACCCACCTTAAACCCTAAACCCTAAACCCTAAACCCTAAACCCTAAACCCTAAACCCTAGACCCGGCACCTCATAGATGGCGGTGACCTTGAATCGGTCCGAGGGTGTCATCCGAGTGAAGTACGGGTATCGCGCTCGGTCGCTCAAGCTCGGGGAGTCACAGCCAGGGGAGACCATGAGAACCTCACGCTAGGGAAGGGGGAGGTTTAGGGTTTAGGGTTTAGGGTTTAGGGTTCAGGGGCTGTACCATTCCAAAAAGGCACTACAGGGGGTGGAGGGTCGGCTGCTATCGGGGCTCATCCATGCATGGAGTGACAAGCTTTCACCCCTAAACCCTACAGTAAACTCCAAACCTAGACGCCTCATGCCTGCAAAAAGCCTTCAGCTCCCCTCAGCCAACTACGCCCTAAAACGTTCCGCTAGCCCTAAACCCTAAACCCTAAACCCCAAACCCTAAACCCCAAAACCCCAAACCCCAAACCTCCCGGCCTTGAACAGGCGTGCGGCATCGGCCACTGCGGCGCAGGCCTGGCTGCAGGAGTCGCCGAGGATGGCGTGCTTCCTGGAGCTATCGTTTTTTTTTTTTTTTTTGGGGGGGGGGGGGGGGGTTGGGGTTTAGGGTTTGGGGTTTAGGGTTTAGGGTTTGGGATTTAGGGTTTAGGGGTTTAGGAGTTTGAGGGGCTTTTGGGGGCGTTAGGGTTTTGGGATTTACGGGTTCAGGGTTATTTAGGGTTTAGGGGCTAGGGATTTGGGATTTAGGATTGTTGGGGTTTAGGGGTTCTCAGGGCTTTAGGGGTGTTGGGGTGTAGGGGTTTAGGGTTGAGGAGTTTAGGGCTTTAGGGGTAAACCCTAAACCCTAAACCCTAAACCCTAAACCCTAAACCCTAAACCCTAAACCCTAAAGCCTAAACCCTAAACCCTAAACCCTAAACCCTAAACCCTAAACCCTAAACCCTAAACCCTAAACCCTAAACCCTAACCCTAAACCCTAAACATTTCTAGAAAGCCCAGGGCTGCTTCGCTTCTGGAGCAGGTTGCTGAAGGCTTGGGAGGGGTTTGGCTTTCAGATTCTACTCCATGGCCCTTCGACTAGTCGGGTTTAGGGTTTAGGCTTTGGGGTTTAGGGTTTGGGGTTTAGGGTTTAGGGTTTAGGGTTTGGGGTTTGGGGTTTAGGGTTTAGGGTTTAGGGTTTGGGGTTTAGGGACTCTTGTGCGAGTCTACGAGTGTATCTTTTCAGGTGACGGTTGCTGCACATCCTCCAGAGCTTCATCGCCGGAGCTCTAGACCCATGAGTGATTCACGCTTAGAGACGAAGCTGATCATGAATGGAGCTGTAAAAAGCTATCTTGCATGGCTTCATGAAAAGGGCTTTTCGCCTATTTTGAATGGCTTCATGAATAAGGCTCTTTTTAAATAGCCTCTTCTGCTGGCTCTCGGACTTAAGAATGGATCGCAAGTCTTCTATCAGGAGCAAACCGGGTTGGCCAGTGATCAACGATTGGTCGCAAGAAGATGGGTTTCAGGCAGGAGGACAGCAACCGACACTTCTCTAAACCCTAAACCCTTCTAAACCCCTAAACCCTCAACCCTAACACCCCAATCGCGGCTTTCGAGGCTATTCCGCAAGGTATCTTCTTGAAAGGGTTTAGGGTCTCGCGCCTTTGCTGCCAAACACACTCGTAGGGTACGTGACTATGGTTTAGGGAAGCCCTCTCTCATGTTGCAAACGTCATGACGTTTTAGTCCGGCGCCCCGAAACAGCCCAAGTCTCGTCGGGCCATTCATTAGGGCTTCGATTGTCGCCTCCGTGCCAATGGCCTCAAGCATCATGCTGGGATGTTTGGCAAGTGTGGGGTGTATAAACTCTTTTGCGCCAGACCCTCCGAAGTCCCATCCACGAGAAAGAAACGCCAGGATGGCTCTGAAAAATATTCCTGCATGTGACCCTCAAAAACCCAATCAGGGGGAAATGTTCACTTGTTTTCAGGGGGAGGTTGGGATGCCACCCCTTATACGAACAGTTTTTAATTAGTAGGGATCATAGCACCCCCTATTCTACTCCCTAGCAAGGAGCTGTTAGTATCAGGGGGAACATCCCAAGGGCGGAGGCTGAAGAAGATCCCGAGGCGCGCCCTGAGGGTTTAGGGTTTAGGGTTTAGGGTTTAGGGTTTAGGGTTTAGGGTTTAGAGGGAGTCAAACTTGTACACTACTTGGAGGTTCATGGTGCTTATTATCCAATTATGGCTGTACTTGTAACCCACTTATAAGCCCCTCAAGTGCCCTAATGTGGTTATGAGCACAGATACCAGCACAGAAATAATTATTGGCTACTAAGTACCATGAACCTCCAAGTAAGGATGTACCCCTCAGAGGTTCCCTTAACATGCTCCTCATAGGGCCATTACATTCCCCTAGAGGCTCTTTACAAACACCCTCCAAACCCAAGGGTGCATCCTTAGGGTCCCAGGCAGCGTCCATAAGTTGCTCTAAGCCGGATCCTCTAAACCCCAAACTCGAAACCCTCAACCCTGATCATGGATAGGGTTTAGGGTTTAGGGTTTCGGGTTTGGGGTTTAGGGTTTGGGGTTTAGGGTTGAGGAATTAGGGTTTAGGGTTTAGGGTTTAGGTTTAGGGTTAAGCATTGAGAGTTGAGGGCTGAGGGTTGAGGGTCTAGGGTTTAGGGACAAGGGAACCTAGGGGGGAGGGGGGTGTGTTGGAGGTGACCCTGGTTCGCATTTCGCAACCCCCCCTCACACAAAACCCTACACCCCATGGCCTCAGACTCAAAGACCCTGTGAAACCGTAACTTAACCCTAAAACGCACACAGCCTTAGACCTTAAATACCAGAAACCTCACACAAGCCCTTAAAGACCCTAGAGAAAGACCCAAACCCTGAACCCCTAAACCGCAAACCCTAAAACCTCTCTTCCCCAAGTCTAGCCTATGAAAAATGCCATATCGTAGAACGGAATACGGTTTAAGGATTAGGGGACCTGAAACCGTTTCAACTCGGCGCACTTACACCCTAAACCTGTGCGCCCAACCCCTTAAACCCTACAAGCTTACAAACCGACTCATCACTAAAACCCTTGAACCCTTGAACCCTAAAAGCCCTAAAGCCCATGAACCTGAAACTTAAACCTTAAACCCTCTACACACCACACCCTAAAGGCCTACAACAAAAAAGACCAAAAAAAAAAAAAAAAAAACCTAACCTTGGGATGTCCACCCTGAAACAAACAGGCCTTGATAGGGACAATCCCTGTTAAGGACTGTTCGTATAAGGGGGAACATCCCAACCCAGCAGGGCTTAGGGTTTAGGGTTTAGGGTTTAGGGTTTAGGGTTTAGGGTTCTAACCCTAACCTTACAAAACCCCCAAACTTGTCACAAGGCACTCGACTGCTGCCCTTAACAAATTGCCCAGCCCATCCCCAGACTGCGGCGCTCATGGCCTAAGCACTTCTTCCCCTAAACCCGAGAGACTAAACCCTGTTAGGGTTTAGGGTTGAGGGTTTCTGCTTTAGGGCTTAGGGTCTAGGGCTTAGGGCTTAGGGCCTACATAAACAACAAATCACCGTCTAAGCCCGGCGTGCCTCGTCGCAGCCCGAATCCGTAAGGTGCAGGTTCAGGCGGTACCCAGGAAGCCAGCCGCTATCCTCCCCCCCAAGTCCCAGCAGGGTAGGGCTTGGGTGGGTTTGGCTGGTGTTGGGGGTTTAGGGGGGGTTAAAGGGGGGAGTTTGGGTGGGAGTTTGGGGGGTTTTGGGGGGTTTTGTGGGGGAGTTGATACCGTTAAAGAGGTTGGTGGGGCTTTGGGTCTGGGATGTCAAGTTTGGGTCGTCGATCTTAGGTTTAGGACTTGGGTTGTGCAAGGGTGTCCTGAGGACGGCTTACTTCCTGGAGCGCTGAAACCCTTGTAGCTCCTAAATTCGAAACCCTAGGCCCTAAACCCTTGTTGCTGCCTGTGCTCCCCCAAGCCCTAAACCCCCTTTTTGTTGAACCGATCTCAGACCTAGAATGCCGGAAGCAACATCTCAGGCCCAAACCATTCTTGGGTTTTGGTTTAGGGTTTAGGGTTTAGGGCCTATAGGGTTTAGGGTTTAGGGTTTAGGGCGTAGGGTTTAGGGCTTAGGGCTTAGGGTTTCGAGTTTAGGGCTTAGGGTTTCGAGTTTAGGCCTTAGGGCTTAGGGTTCAGGGTTTATAGGGTTCAGGGCTTAGGGTTTTAGGGCCTGAACACCCTCACGAAGTCAGTGCAGAGCTGGCGGCCTCGATCTCCTGCGCCGCCAGCGCCAATAGCGGTTCGGCCATAGTCATCATGTCGCCAATCACTCCCGTGTAGGGGCTGATGACCTTCGAAGGTTGGGGGGGTTTAGGGTTTAGGGTTTAGGGTGCTGATAGGTTGAGGGGTTTAGGGGTTAGGGTGTAGGGGCTGATGACCTTGAAAGGTTGAGGGGTTAGGGTTTAGGGGCTGATGGGTTGAGGGGTTTCGGGGTTCGGGTGTATATACGGGCTGATGACCTTGAAAGGCTAAGGGGTTGACGGTTTAGGGTTGCAGGGTTCAGGGTTGTGGGGTTTACGGTTGTAGGGGTTTAGGGTATGATGACCTTGAAAGGTTGAGGGGTTGAGAGGTTTAGGGTTGTAGGGTGCAGGGGCAAATGGCCTTGAAAGGTTGAGGGGTTGTTGAGGGGCTTAGGGTCGTAGGGGTTTAGTGGCTTGCGCAAGGTGTTCGCGTGACTTCATGAGATGAAGGCATTGACGCTGCTTGTAGGGGCTTTGATGGTTCAATATTATGGAATGTTCTGCTCCCCCACCACTCTACTTGAGTTCCCACATACTAGAAGCACGAGGCTAACTTTCAAGTAAGGCCGTGCAAGCCCGGATTTGCGCTAAGGGTATGCTACAACAACTCCTTACAGAAGCACCTCCAAGAAAGCACACTGGGGCAACCGGCTGCAATGTTGATGTCGGTACTGCCATTCCGGCTTGCGTTGTGGACAACATCCACCGTGCAGTCGCCTCCCTTATAGTATCCTGGGACGATAAGGGTTTTTTGCTTTGGGTTCAGGGTTCAGGGAATGGTTTTCTGTCGTGCCTGCACCATAAATTCAAACCCGAAAACCCACGAACGTGTATCAACAGAAACGCCCAAGTACATCTGCACGAAACTAGGAAATGTCTACGTTTGTGCCAGGACTGAGACACGGTAACTGTACATACAGGTTCTGTAGGAATGTTACGGCTGTTGTAAGCATGTCGTGCGCTGTAGTTTAAGGTTTCGAAGCACATGCAATCTGGGTTGAGAGGGCTTTATAGGCTGAGGGTTGCACCCCAAGGGTTTAGGGTTTAGGGTGTAGGGTTTAGGGTTTAGGGTTTAGGGAGGGTTTAGGGTAGAACCTAAACTTTAAGCAACAACTCGGAACCCGAGGTACAAGTACCATGGTGCTTCTTCGGCCCGCCAGCCGCTGACTGTTGATGTTAGGCTTTCAAGGCGTATGTTTACGAGGCTCCGGGGTTGCGGGTGAAGGCTTAGGTTTAAGGTTTAAGGTTTAAACTTTAAGGTTTAAGGTTCAAGGTTTAAGGTTTCAGGTTTAGGGTTTTCAAAGTTTAGGCCTAGGGTATAGGGCCGTTTAGGGATTAGGGCTTTGGGAAGTTTAGGGTTTAGGATTCGAGGGTGCTTGAGCAAACTTTATATCGATGAGCTCATTCCGAAGCCCCCAAGCCCCGAAACAGTGCCCTGCGCATATGAAGCAGTGCTTTCCTTGTCTCATCCCCAACCCCTGCCCCATACACCCTAAACTCTAAACCCTAAATCTTAAACCCCTAAAGCCTAAAGCATCCTAAAGCTTTATACACCCTGAATACCGACACAGTCCCTTTCGAAAACCCCAGAAAGCTCCCCCCCGCCCCCCAAACAAAAAACGAAAGCACAAAAAACAGAAACGTGAAACCCCAAACCCTAGAGCTCGGAATCATGAAGCCCTCAGGCCTACACCCCGATAACCGTCCTATACCTTTAGAGTTTACAGGGTGGGGCCCCCTTACTATACTAACTGTAGTTAAGGGACTTATAACCTAACTTAGGGTCCTTATAACCCAATTTAGGGCCCTTATAACTCTACTTATAACTAGGGGGCCCCACCCTGTAGGGTTTCGGGCCTTTTGCAACTGGTCCGCCTCTAAAACCCCAAACCCGGATTCAGGACCCTGGCGGCCACCAAAAACACAACAAAGACACTACCCTACCATGTGCTTCAGAACACTCCCCCAAAAATAAACGGTAGTCATTCCTGTAAAAGGCAGGATGATTTTTTGGGGGCTTCTCAA